AAAAAATAATCAAATTGATATATATATCTATATTAAATATCAAAATTAAATTAAATTAATTAATTTATTAATTAATTAAACTAACATTCTCTTGGGTCCACTCAAACCATCACAAACATAACAAATTTTAATAGACTTTTAAAATTTTAATTTATTAAGTATCGATGTGCGTGTATTCAATCAAGATTTTATTAGAATGTTATTAGACTTTTATAATTTAAATGTATTCAATCAAGATTTTATAGAATTTTATTAGACTTTTATAATTTAGGTGTATTCAATCAAGATTTTATAGAATTTTATTAGACTTTTATAATTTAGGTGTATTCAATCAAGATTTTATAGAATTTTAAAGTCTTTTAAAATTGTTTCAAAATTTATAGGTATTTAACAATCCGTTGAATTATCTATGAATTTTATTGGATTTTAATTGATATTTATAGAAAAATTGTATATTATAAAATCTCTTTCGATAAGTAGAGATTCTGATTGATTTTTTTTTTAATTTATAAGAAATATATATGATTTTCTATATATAAATATTAGGATAACATTTATTAAAATTATTTTAATATTTTAGTAAAATAATAATAATTTCAAAAACTAAAATTTTCTATCTATAATATTTTAAAAATACTACTATGTAATCATAATAAATATATATTATTTTAATATAATTTTTGTATTTTATATTTTATATTTAATAATTTGAATATTTTATTTTTTATCTACAAATATTTTTAATAAAAATTTATAAAAATATGCTTCCTGGAATAATTTTTTGGACACAATTCTCCACATATATATATAATACACTATATTTTATCATCTCATAAAAAATTAACAATTAATACAAATATCATTTTTTATTACTTACAATTCTCTGAACCTTAAGTAAAATTATATTGAGACCCAAAATTTTTCAGTCTAATACCCAATCCCACGCTTGATGCAATCAAATTTGTAGCCCATCATATATGGCCATTCTTATTTCGATGATAAATCTCGGCCGTTTGATTAAAGGGTACTCCAATCTGGATCCATCGTTACAACAAAGATTTCTGCTCCTAAAATAAAATATGAGGGCTCATGTTATTGGAATATCTCTCTTCACACATAAGGTCTTGCAACGTTCTTGGGTTGTTCAAGAAGTATGCTACCCGCAGCTAACAAAAAATGTACAAATATTTCTCTGGGAACTTTGCATTGAGGAATCCCACAAAGAACAAGCAGTTAAAGAAGTGGTGGCATAATAATAAACTGACGTAGAAAAGGACATGAGCATATGTAGAAGAATAAAAAGAACCTACAAGATTGAGCAATGCCCTAAAAAGACTCGGCCAACACTTGGCCAAAAGCCATCAACTTCAATCTTCGTTGTATAAATTCATGTGTAAGCCCAAGAGTATTCTAGGTTAAGTAAATGAAAAAAAATAAATTTCTTGTCATATATTTTTATTATTTCCTTTGATTTTATATCATTTGCCTTCGATATCAAAGTACTGAAGCTGATGTCATTCAAAAAGAACTTATGGATGTATATGGAGGATTTGATTAAAAATGACAAATGTTCGGCAATGATATCTGTTCAAAGATAGTTGTGTATTGCTAGAAGGATCTTGTACCAATTCCACTATGTGCTATCTCTAACCAGCTCCGACAGTGTCCTTAAAAATGAGGTTTGTTCCACACAACAAAAGCTACAACCAACACAAAATATGTTGATAAGGTAGCTCAATAATATAGTTCTTTAAAACTTGTGTTATAGTAATCAATATACCCTACAAATGATGAGAAAAGTCAGGCTAACCTTTCTTTGCTCTCTATTCTCGAATAGGACAAGAGAAAATACAGTGATGATGTTGGCCACCAAAAAAAGAACAAGGAGAAAGAGTCATTGACTGCCTTGAGTGCCACTAGCACTGGACAAAATTCACTTGTAATGTGAAGCTAAGGAGGTACGAGATTGATGTGCTGTCCATCAAGAGGCTAGACTTGAAAAAACCCATTTACATTGAGGTAGGTTTACTGCTTGTTAGATATCAAAATTAAAAATCAAGAATAACCAAAGTAAGAGAAAAAAAAAAAAAAAAAAAAAAAAAAAAAAAAGGGGGAAGACACGAGATGGATCAACTTCTACCTTCTCGTGTATTATTCAATATGTCAAATCTAAAACTTCCGATGTCTACAAATCATGGCCGCTATGTAAGACCACTACAAGAAAATATCAATTTTGTAACGATGTTTTTTGGTTCATAAATCCAATTTTTCCGTGACTAATGTTATTAGTGACGGAATTGGGGATAAAACTACGTTAGCTACGTGAACTTTAGGAACGAAATTCCGTTACAAATATACAATTTTTTTTGAAGTGGACCATCCGCAACGGGCGCATCTCCTAAGCCACATCATCTCTGTTACTTATGTGTATATTTATATATAGATATAATATATATATTATACTCCCTCAGTTTATTGAGAGTTAGCACGGGAATTAAGAAATAATAATATTTAATTGAAAGTGGGTATAAAGTAGAATGTAAATGACTAAAATGCTCTTACTTTTTGAAGGATTTTAAATAGTATATTAGAGTAATAATTAGGGGTAGTATGGAAAAGTAGGAATAATTTTGTTATAAAGTGGGGACCACGACCGTACAAGAAATTATCAACTTTATAACGGAGTTTTTTTTGTTCCTAAATTCATTTTTTCCGTTACTAATAATATTAGAGACGGAATTAGATATGGAATTACGTTAGTTACGTGAACTTTAGGAACGAAATTCCGTTACAAATATACTATTTTTTTGTAGTGCGACTACTAAATAAGGAAACAAGACAATTGTTTTGGGACGGACGAAAATGGAAAAACAAGACAAATCTTTTGGGACGGAGGGAGTATATGTTTTGTTTTTGTAATTTATATTGAATTTATTGTTATATTTAAATTTTCTAATATTTTTATAATTTATAATATTTTGTATTCTACAAAATGATACTAATATTGAATATATTTTATCAATTTAAAATTTAAAATATATAAATACAAATATTATACAATTCTGTTGAACAAATCAATATTAATAAATTTAATTTAATTTATTAAATAAAATATAATTATAAATTTTAAAGCAATTAAATAATATAAAATTATATTAAACAATAAATATATTTAGTTTATAATTAATTATACATACATAATTAATGATAAGATATTAAAAATAATTAATACTAAAAAATTAAAACTATAATTATACATACATAAATAATTAATACTAAAAATTAAACTATAATTATACATACATAAACAATTAATACTAAAAATTAAAACTATAATTAATAAATAATATATATATAATATGAAAATAAATTTTATTAAAAAATTAAGATGAATATCTTTGTTGCGAGTATAAAATAGAAGATAGTATCTTCGCTTACGCGGCAGAGAGAAAAAGTGACATGAATAACAAAAAATTTATTCCAATCCAAGTTTTTACTATTAAAAAATCTAAATCCAAAAATAAAAACCCACAAACAAAAGTGTTTCTATGAACTCAATTCTCCTTGTGCTATTAAATTTAGTGTCCATTGTTAAGGTTCACCCTCCCCTTTTTACATACTCTTTCTGTCCCGAAACTAAATATCTATTTGTATTTTGCACGTAGTTTTAGAAATATTAGTATTATATTGCGATATAGTAGAAATAAAATAGAAATGACTAAAATAACCTTATTAGTATGTCTGATATAAAGGTAATAACATTTGTACAATATATTGTAAGTTGTAAAGGTATTTGTAATGTTAAGTAGATATTACAGTTACTTAAAAAAGAAATAGATACTTTGTTATGGGACGGACTAAAATGAAAAAATGGATACTTTGTTATGGGACGGAGGAAGTAGAATTTTCTTAATGTTTTTATATAATATTTTGTCTATATTTCACTTGTTTTTTTTTTTCTTTTGTTTTGGGTTTTGTGTTTTAGTTTACATAACATTTGTTATACAATGCATATAAATGAATAAATGATATTTTGGTTTTATTTTTATTTTTATTTTTATTTATTTTTAATTTTTAATTTTTAATTTTATTTGCATTTGGTCAGTATGTGATTGATTGCGATTTGATTGCAAAATTGCAATAAGATTTCACAACATTTTGAACTGAATGAGAATTAGAAATTAGTTTTCTAATCTATTTAAAAAATCTAGTTAGCAATCATTGTTATTGTTGTGGTTTAGAATGGATTGAAACTTTATTTTCTTGACAAAAATAGTTATTAAACTTTTGGATTCAAACAAGCAAGAACATAAACAATCTAATTGGATAATTAAATATCTACTATTTAAAAAACCACAAAACAACAAATCATATTCCGTTCAAATATGTTCAGCCCACGATTTACCCAAGCACAAACAAGCCACCCTAAAAACAAGAAATCGACTATTTACAAAGTCTCCAAACACAAAAAGCCACAGCCGCTCCCAATTTCTCTTCTACCAAGTTTGAATTTTGTAAAAAGATCGTATATTGTTATACTTTTGATTAGTCTCACTGCTGTAACTTGGGTATTGTATTAGAAAAAATTTGGGTTTCGATATTTTTCTTTAGTAAATTTAACTTTGTTTATGCAAGGATTTTTTATTTATTTTATTTTATTTTTTTAATTTAGGCGCGGATGACACCTAAACACCCAAGTTTTGCGACCAAAAAAATTAGGTGGTGGAATATTATAATTTTTGGATCAATGAAAAATATGGAGACTCAAATTTTTTCCAATCCAATACCCAATCTCACCATTGATACATCCAAATTTGTAGCCTACTATATACTTTGGCCCACTTCTATTTCAAGGATGAATCTCCACCGTTTGATAAAGCATACTCCAATTTGGACCCATCATTACTCCAAAAACCTTATGTATAAAGATACTACACTTGGTCGACACCATTCATTCATTCACTCATGCTTTCTCTCTTTGGCTGCGCTTCTCTCCCTGCAATCTAAATATCCAAAAATCTTCTCTTGGTCAATGAAAAATATGGAGACCCAAACTTTTTCCAATCAAATACCTAATCTCGCACTTGATACATCCAAAATTGTTGCCCACTATATACTTGGCCAACTTCTATTTCAAGGATGAATCTCGACCGTTCGATAAAGCGTACTCCAATTTGGACCCATCCTTACTCCAAAAACCGTATAATGATACTAAACTTGGTTGAAACCATTCATTCACTCACATTCTTTTCTCCCTACGATCTAAAAATCCTCTCACGATAAATCCACCCATTCTTCTTCTCAATTATCCCTCTGCAATATTTTTCTTGCCTTTCCTGATCCGTGGAACTTCGGAGATGTTTTGTTCCAGCACCATCTTGGCTCTCTTCATGTCTTCTTCGATTCTGGTGATTTGATTTGAGCCTTTTATGGTTCGTGTGTGATGTTTCGTTCATTGTTTTAATTTGTAATTAGCCTTAGAATAATTTTTTAGAGGATATGAGGCAAATATATAGTGTGTTTGTTGCGATCTGCACTTAAAAAAAGTTAAAAGTTAGCTAAAATAGAATTTTTAGCAAAAGGTAATAATTCATATCAAAAATATTTTTGCGACGAAATTTCGTCGCCGATACCGTGTTAGTAAAGATCTTTGGCGACAAATATAACTTTCGTAACAAAAAATAAGTTTTTTGCAATAAAATTTATAAAAAGAGTATCTATGAAAAAAATGATTTCCTAGCTAAACTTCTTTTACTATAAAATTAAATTTTAAAGCAAAAGAGTTTTAGCAACAAAATATTTATAATTTTTTTTAGCCAAATAATTTTAGCTATGAAAATAATTTTGCAGCTAAAATGTTTTTGCTATGATAGAATTTTCTAGCAAAAAACTTTCAGCAACCAAATTAATTTTGTAGTACATAATTTATTTTTAACGATGAAATAGATTTTTGTTGTTAAATGACACGTCTTAACTACCAAAATATTTCATAGTTAAAAATATTGTAGTTAATTAGATATTTTTTTTTTTTATAGTATTGGTGTTAGAACTTAATTATGACATTAATGGAGAATAATTTTATATTAATTTGGTGATTATATAATAAAGTTTAATATATATTGATTTAGTGAATATTGAGTAATAAATTATATAATAATATATGATTGAGTGAATATTGGATAATAAATTAGTGATATTTGTGTTTATCCATTATATATATTTATATATATTGTAATAGTTTTGTAGAGTAAAAACTATCGAGAATTAAAACGTTTATTTTTCCTCCTCAATTATTACATATTTTATTTTCTATAAATGGTATCAGAGCCAAAGCCATGAACGGCTCGATCCTTTTATCCCTGCCGGTTCTCGATGGAAAAAATTTTAATTGATGGACCGTCCAAATGAGGGTGCTTTTCGATTTTCATGAATTACTGAGTATTGTTGAAGAAGGTGTTCCTACATTTCCGGATAGTGCAACTGCTGCACAACAAACAACCAATCGAGAGAATAAGAAAAAAGATAAAAATGTTCTATATCTTATTCATCAAGGTGTTACCGATGAAGTGTTCGAGAAAATTGCTAGAGCTACCACATCAAAGCAAGCATGGGATACATTGATGACGATATATAGAGGTGATGTGAAGGTTACGAAAATACGATTGCAAACATTGAGACGACAATATGAGCTTCTGGAGATAGGACCATCGGAGTCGGTGACGGAGTATGTAAGTCGTCTTTTGACTTTAACAAATATAATGAAGACATGTGGAGATGATTTTAGTGAACAAGCCAAGGTTGAGAAATATTGCGAACTTTAACAGAAAAGTTCGAGCATATTGTCGTAGCCATTGAAGAGGCTCACGATTTATCCACAATGATTGTTGATGAAGTTTCGGGCACATTACAAGCCCATGAGCAGTGTATGAATGAAAAAAAAAAATGGAGAAGCCAATTGAGCAAGCCTTCCAAGGTTAGGTGTCGTTTAATACCAAACAAAGCGATGAAGCTACAAGTTGTGGAAATTCACATGGAAGAGGACGTGGCCGTGGTGGTCGCCAAAACATACAATATCGACATAAAAAAAATTGGGGCAGGATGGAATAATTTTGATCATTCCAATCAAAACCATCTAAAAGGTCAAAATTACAGAGATCGTGGTCGAGGGCGTGGTCTGAACAAATTAAGGTTTAACAAGTCACATGTTGAGTGTTATACTTGTCATAAATTCGGTCATTATTCTAATGAATGCAGATACAAAGGAATTAACCAAAAAGCGCATTATGCGCAAGATTATGATGATCAAGATGATCATGACCATGCTCTTTTATGGTTACTTCCACCAATGAAGTGTCAAACTCTCATACATGGTTTCTAGATACCGGGTGCACAAATCACACGTGCGGTAGATGTGAGCTTTTTGTTGAACTTGACGAATCAGTCCGACGATAGCACAATGCCGGTTATGGGGAAAGGATGCATCCTTATTAAGCTAAGGAATGGAGATCACAGTTTCACATCGGAGGTCTTCTATGTGCCTGCTATGAAAATTAATCTCCTAAGTATGGGCCAATTGTTGGAGAAATGATTTGAAATGCATTCTAAAGGGGATGATTTGTCGATTCTTGACATAAAAGGTACACTTATTTTGAAAACCACTTTAACAAAGAATCGTATGTTTCAATGTTGATATTCCTGGCGATGTATATACATGTGTCAATACAATGGTGAAAGATGAGTCTTGGTTATGGCATCTTCGCTTTGGTCATTTTAATTTTCAAAGCTTGAAAATGCTTGCTCTAAGGAATATGGTGAAAGGATTGCCAAAGATCGATCACCCCAATCAAGTGTGTGAAGCATGCATTTCAGGAAAGCAAAGTAGGCGACCATTCAAAGCTGAAAATAATTGGCGTGTGAATCACTTATTGGGTCTTGTTCACTCCGATGTTTTTGGCCCGTTGAGTGTTGAATCTCATGGCAACAACAGGTATTTCTTCACATTTATTGACGATTTTTCTCAAAAGAGTTGTGTTTATTTGCTACCTAAGAAATCTGCAGTGTTCACAAGCTTTATGAAATTTAAGGCTCATGTAGAAAACCAAAGTGGTTTTTCTACAGAAACGTTGCGAACGGATGATGACGGTGAATATATATCTTCCGAGTTCAAGAGTTTCCTAGAGAATCATGAAATCAAGCATCAAATAACTCCACCTTACACTCCTCAGCATAATGGAGTTGCGGTGCGGAAGAATAGAACCATCTTTGATATGTCAAGAAGCATGTTGAAAGCCAAAGGGTTGCCAAATTCCTTTTGGGGAGAAGCGGTCGCTTGTTCGGTGTATTTGTTGAATCGGTCTCCAACAAAATCTATTTGTGACTTGACGCCGGTAGAAGCATGGTGCGAATCAAACCTAAAGTTCAACATTTGGGAGTATTTGGTTCCGTGGTCTACGTGCACATTCCGGCGGCCACTCGAACAAAGCTTGATGATCGTGGGGAAAAGGCCATCTTTGTGGGTTATGCACATGGATGATACAAAGTTTTTAACCCAACAACAAATAAAGTCATCATCAGTAGAGATGTCATTTTTGTGGAGGATGAAACATGGAGTTGGAGTTTGCCTCAAGTCACTCAAAGACGGCATGTTGAATTATTTGAAGGTGCTTCTCAAAGTGGAATTTATAGTATGGTTGAAGAAACTAGACAAGCCAATACTTCCAATGAAAGACCGACACAAGCCAATGCTTTCGATGAAAGGCCAAGGCGCCAACGACAACTTCCAGTCACACTACGTGACTATAAAGTAACTTCTGATGATGTCATTTCTAATGATGGAGAAATTATGCATATTGCTATGTATGCAGATTGCGAACCTGCCTCAGTTGACGATACAATGAAAAATACTAAATGAGTGAAAGCTATCGAGGAGGAATTGAGTTCCATCGAAAGAAATCATACTTGAGAGCTTGTGGATGCTCCATATGATTGCAAACCCAGATGTCAAGTGGGTTTTTAAAACGAAATTGAAGGCAAATGGAGAAGTAGAAAGATATATGGCGAGGCTTGTGGCGAAAGACTATGAACTAAGGCCCGGATTTAATTTTCAAGAAGTATTTGCGCCTGTAGCTCGAATGGAGACGATAAGGTTGTTGATAGCCTTAGTTGCGCAAAATTGTTTGAATTTACATCAAATGGATGTAAAATTCGCATTTTTGCACGGCCCACTTCAAGAGGAGATTTATGGGAAGCAGTCTCCCGGATTTCAATCACATGGAGGTGAGCACAAGGTGTATAAATTGAAAAAGCCCTTGTATGGACTCAAACAAGCCCCGCGAGCATGGAATATACATATTGATTTATTCTTCTACAAAATTGGATTTCAAAGATGTTCAAGTGAACATGCTTTTTATGTCAAAGTCACTTCTACTGGCGATAAGTTGGTGTTGTGTATATATGTTGATGATCTTATTTTTGCAGGGAGCAATCCTCGCATGATTGGGGATTGTAAATTATCCATGAAGCGCGAGTTTGATTTGACCGACAAGGGCTTGATGTCATACTTTCTTGGAATCGAAATTACTCAAAGAAATGGTGGGTTCTTTGTTGCACAACAAAAGTATCTTTCTGAAATATTAGAAAGGTTTAACATACAAGATTGCAATGTTGCACGAACTCCAGTGGAGGTTGGCACGAGGTTGATGAAAAGTGAAGATGAGCCTGTTGTTGATCCGAGATATTTCAAATAAATTGTTGGAAGCTTACGAAATCTCACATGTTCAAGGCCGGATATTACTTATGGTGTTGGGCTAATTAGTAGGTTCATAGAATCTCCACGTCAATCGCATCTTCAAGCTGCTAAAAGGATTTTAAGGTATTTAAAAGGCACTCATAATTATGGCATTTTATATTCATTGTCTAGCAACTCTTTTGTTGGATTTTCCGATAGCGATTGGGGAGGAGATCTTGAGGATCGAAAGAGTACTACCAGAAATTGTTTTTTTTTTTTTTTTATGGTTCTACCATTATTTCCTAGTCTTCGAAAAAGCAGTCTATTGTGGCATTATCAACTTGTGAAGCTGAGTATGTTGTTGCGTCCACGAGTGCTTGTCAAGCTATTTGGTTGAGAAATGTGTTGGATCAAATTGGCATTCCGATTGAAAGTCCCATACAGTTGCAAGTCGATAATGTTTCGGCAATTAATTTGGCCAAGAATCCTATAGCGCATGGGAGAAGCAAACACATAGACATTCGTTACCATTTCTTGAGAGAAGCCGTGAATGAAGGGAAGATTGAATTGAGGTTTTGTAAGTTTGAAGATCAAGTTGCCGACATTTTTACAAAGCCATTGAAGCATGAATCATTTGTGAAGTTGAGGAAAATGCTTGGGATGACTTCAACGGAATATCATAATTAAGGGACGGTATTCGAACTTAATTATGATATTAATGGAGAATAATCTTATATTAATTTGGTGATTATATAATAAAGTTTGAGGAAAAAATCATTTTTGGTCCCAATATAACCAAAATTCATCAATTTTGGTCCAAATATAAAAATCTTATCAATTTTGGTCCCCATATAACCAAAACTTATCATTTTTGTCTCAATATAACCAAAATTCATTATTTTTGGTCCAAATATAAATTTTTTTATCAATTTTAGTCCCAATATAACCAAAACTCATCATTTTTTGTCATAATATAATCAAACCTTATCTTTTTTGGTCCCACAGTCAACAAACCGACGAAAAATGTTGACGTGAAAAGAAATCAAACCTTATATATATATTTGAAGAAATTGCACAATCTTGCAAGTCCACGTCAGCATTTTCCGTCGGTTTGTTGACGGTGGAACCAAAAAAGTTAAGGTTTGATTATATTCGGACAAAAAATGATGAGTTTTGGTTATATTGGGACTAAAATTGATAAAAAAAATTTATATTGCGACAAAAAAATGATGAGTTTTGGTTATAATGGGACCAAAATTGATAAAATTTTTATAGGGTAAACTGTTTTTTTAGTCCCATAACTGGACCCCTTTATCATTTTAATCCCGTAAGTGGAGCCTGTCGCAAACTAGTCCCACAAGTGAAAATTTTTCGTTGTTTTAGTCCTTCGGCGCCGGAGACGCCCGCGTGGCTCGCCGGAGGTGACGTGTCCGCCAGGTGTCCCGCCAGGTCAGCGACACCTGGCGGACACGTGGATTATTTTTTTTTTTAATTTTTTTTAATTGGACCAAATAAAAAAAATAAAAAAGATACAAATAAAATTAAAAATAAGTTTTAAAAAAAATTAAAAAAATGAAAAAAATAAAAAAATCCACGTGTCCGCCAGGTGTCGCTGACCTGGCGGACACGTCACCTCCGGCGAGCCACGCAGGCATCTCTGGCGCCGGAGGACTAAAACAACGAAAATTTTTCACTTATATGGGACTAGTTTGCGACAGGCTCCACTTACGGGACTAAAATGATAAGGGGGTCCAGTTACGAGACTAAAAAAACAATTTACCTAATTTTTATATTATGACCAAAATTGATGAATTTTGGTTATATTGGGACCAAAAATGATTTTTTCCCCTAAAGTTCGATATATATTGATTTAGTGAATATTGAATAATAAATTATATGATAATATATGATTGAGTGAATATTGGATAATAAATTAGCGATATTTGTGTTTATCCATTATATATATTTATATATATCTTAATAGTTTTGTAGAGTAAAAAATATCAAGAAATAAAAAGTTTATTTTTCCTCCTCTATTATTACATATTTTATTTTCTATCAGTTGGTTGTATATTTGTGGGTAAACGTCTGTAGTTTTCAATTTGGGTTGTTATAGGTGTCTGATCCTATTCAATCATCTTGTTAGTTCAGTGTTGATTTTAAAACAACGATTCCCATATTTTTGTACGTTTTGTTTGAATCGATTAAATCAGTGTTGAATGCAAATTTTCATTGAAATAGATCAAAATTTTATCTTCAAAACTTTCTTTCTATAACATCGAACATTTGAATTAAATATTTTAGCTATCCATCAACATTATGTCCTAGAACAATGTGGATTCACATCACATTGTGTCCTGGGCTACTATCTTTTAATTAAATATCAGTTGCCGTAAAAATTAAGTCTGGATTTTAACATAAGTTGGTGACTTTTTACTGAAAAGTCGTGGAAAAATATACGGAACTATTTTTGTGAAATTTCGCAAGTGATTTTTTTCTAAATTGGTGATATTTCTGTGACAACAAAATTCCATGAATTTTTTAAAATAGTGATATTTCTGTGACAATAAGTTAAAAAATAATGTCATTACACTTTATATAAAATTTCGAAGTTCACAATACATTTTTTATTTTTAGTTTTGTGCTTGTTTTTTTGCAGAACATTTGTTATATAACACATATTGATGAATAAATGTTTTTTAGTTAGTACTTTTTTTTTTTTCTTTTGCATTGGATCAACAATTTAAAGTAGCTTAAATTTTGTGCTTTTGTATCCATATGTGATTCTTGGTTATTTCATTGCCACATTACAATAAGATTTGGCAACCCCTTAAAGTTATTGAGAAAAATATAGGAATGTAGCAATCATTCTTATTATTTTATTTTAGAAAGGATCGAAACTTTGTTTTCTTACAATTATTAAACAATTGGATTCATAAAAAACACAAGGAAGAACATAAACAATCTAAGCAGAAAATTAAAGATCTACTATATATAAAACAACAAAACAATAAAACAAGTTTAGTTCAAATAGGCTTAGCCCTAAATTTACCCAAACATGAACAGACCACCCTACAAACAAGAAATCGACCATATACAAAGCCTCCAAACAGAGAAGGCCACAACCGCTCCCAATTTCTCTACTACCAAGTTTCAATTTTGTAGAGGGATTGTTTGTTGTGATACTTTTGATTACTCTAATTGTTGTAACTTGTGTAGTTAAGTATGGACTAATCATATATCGTTTTCTTTTGTGAAATTCTTATTATTATTTTTGTTTTTTTGCAGGTAACAAATTTGTTTATTTGGCGATGACGCACCCTAGTTTTGTGAGCTAAAAAACCAGGTGGATGATTTGTTGAATTCTTGGATCAATGTAAAGTATTGAGACCCAAATTTTCCAATCCAATACCTAATCCCACACTTAGATGCAACAAAATTTGTAGCCCGCCATCTACTTTGGCCCACTCCTATTTCCAGGATGAATATCGGTCGCTTGATCAACCGTACTCCAATTTGGACCCATCATTACTCCAGAAACCCTAAGTATAAAGATACTACACTTTGTCGATGGAATTCATTTACTCACCTTTGCTTTCTCACTTTGGCTGCGCACTTCTTCCTACGATCTAAATCCACCCATTCTTCTTCTCAATTATCCCACTGCAATCTGTGTCTCGCCATTCCTAATCCGTGGAACTTCGGAGATGTTTTGTTTCAACATCATGTTGGCTCTCTTCATGCCTGCTTCGATTCGGGTGATTTGATTTTAGCCTTTTATGGATTCGTGTGTGATGTTTTCGATTTCGGTTGTTTTGGGTATCTGACACTATATCATCTTCTTGATAGCTTAGTGTGTGTTTTGGTTGGAATCATGGACAATTAGTTTAGCGATCCAATTAGGGTTGAGTAGACACAAAAAGTTGTCGAGTATCTGAAAGACACACAGAAGCAAAATATTCTTTACAACAACCTCAAGATTGTATAGATGAAATTGTTTGCGGTGAAATGGAATTTGTGGAGCTTCTTCTATTGTGGACGACAGAACTTGAACAATTGGAACTAGTACCTCATTCTATGGATGAGGGTGAATTGGATAGGGCAAAAAGAGAGTTTGAGTTGTTCTATTGGGAGTCATCTACCAAAGCTAAATTTTTCATAGATAAACATAGAGTTCAAAATTTTGACTTTGGCCATGAATCATTGCTTTGTTGTGGATTTTGTATTAAGCTGCATTCCCGAATCTCTTCATCTTTCTTTTGTTTTATTAATTATTATTTTTTTTTATGAGTTCTGCTAATGGAGTTATAATTCTATTTTATTTCGTATCCATTCAATTTTAAGTCATGCATCGGATAGAGATACTAGTGTAAAGTGGAATAATTCTATATTAGTAACTTTAGTGGGAGTCTATGAACTTATAAAAGCAAATTAAAACATAAGAGCAAGAATACAAAAAATGAAATCATTCCAACACAAGTGAGGAATGCAATTATGGTTCAATTAAAGATTTTCTTTTGTGTTCTTGTATGCATTTATAAATTAAATCAATTCAAGAAAATTAAAGAAATATTATTTTTTTTTACGCCAAAACATCATTTATTGAAGTATATAAAACTTCTGGTTTAGATAGCTACACAGATTTACATGTTGTACTTTTCTCCAAATCCATAAGGATTGGACACTTCATTTGTTCTATGTTCGGATAAGTAATGCTAGTTGCACAAAGATTCCTTATGGATTTAAATGAGATTATTCTATATGTTTAAGATAGGCAAAATGAGTTTTCTGGCATACAATAGGGGCATTTTATTTTTTCATATTCACTGGCTTTTTTAATGGTATATAAATATTCATCAATCAAAATAATAATAATAAAAACTATTCAGAAGATTTAATCACAACTACTTGTCCAACAACCAAATCGCCGAACATCAAATGCAAATATGGTTATAAATTTTAAGCATAACAAAAACAACACAAAACACAATATTTATTTACTCAATTTTATTTGTCTATGTTTGAATAAAAATTATGAAATTAATGCAAACATTTGAGATTAAATAGGAATTTGGAATTGACTTTATTGTTGAATCCTATTCATTGTTTAATAGTATTGTTTAGCTTTATTATTATTATTATTATTATTATTATTATTATTATTATTAGGGAAAAAAAGACCAAAATTGATAAATTTTGGTCCCATTATAAACAATTTTAATCAATTTTGGTCTCACCGTTAAAAAACTAACGGAAATTGCTGACGTGGACATGATGGAGGTGATGTGGCAGTTGACCTGAAAAGTACACAGCCATGTACAATTATACACGGCCATGTTGTTACATGGCCATGTATATTTCAGTGTATAATTATAGATGGTCATGTTGTTACACGGCCATGTATAATTATACACGGCCATGTACATTTTTATTTTAGTTTAAAATTATTTTTTTTGTTATATTTTTTTAAAAAAAATTATTTTGAATTTAAAATAGTTAATAGAATTAAATTGGACATAATCAATAGTAATTATAATATAATTAAAATTTATCAATTTTAATTCAAATATAAAAATTTATAAGATATATTATTTTGAAATGTTTTGTCTAAAATTTTATTATTCACAAAAAAAAAAATTTCTCTTACAAACATCTAATTACACAACTATTTTTTAAATTTTGTATATTATAGTAGTATGATAAATTAATTTATTATTTCAATACATTAATTGGATGTTTGTAAGAGAAATTTTTTTGCTAAATAGTAGAATTTTAGACAAAATCTTCTAAAAGAACATACTCGATAAATACTTATATTTGAACTAAAATTGATATATTTTAATTATAGGATAAATTTTTTTAGTCCCGTAACTGGACCTCCTTATCATTTTAGTCCCGTAAGTGGAGCCTGTCGCAAACTAGTCCCATAAGTGAAAATTTTTCGCTATTTTAGTCCTCCGGCGCCGGAGACGCCTGCGTGGCTCACCAAAGGTGACGTGTCCGCCAGGTCAGCGACACCTGGCGGACACATGGATTTTTTATTTTATTTTTCCATTTTTCTAAAATTTTTTTAAAACTTATTTTTAATTTAATTTTAATTTTATTTGTATTTTTTTTATTTTTTTATTTGGTCTATTAAAAAAAATTAAAAAAATGAAAAAATAAAAATAAATCCACGTGTCCGTCGGTGTCGCTGACCTGGTGAGACACCTGGCGGACAAGTCACCTCCAGCGAGACACGCGGGCATCTTCGGCGCCGGAGGACTAAAACAGCGAAAAATTTTCACTTATGGGACTCGTTTGCGACAGGCTACACTTATGGGACTAAAATAATAAGGGGGTCCAATTACAGGACTAAAAAAAAAGTTTACCCTTAATTATATTATGATTATTATTGATTTTTTTTCCATTTTAACTATATCAACTATTTTAAATTAAAAAAAAAATTAAAAAATATAACAAAAAATTAAAATTTTAAACCGAAACAGAAAAGTACACGGCCGTGTAGAATTATACATGGCCGTGTAACAAGATGGTCATGTATAATTATACACTGAAATATACGTGGTCATGTAATAACATAGCCGTGTAACAACATGGTCATGTATAATTATACACTGAAATATACATGACCATGTAACAACATGGCCGTGTATAATTGTACATGGCCATGTACTTTCCAGGTTAATTGCCATGTCACCTCCGTCACGTCCACGTCAGCAATTTCCGTTAGTTTTTTAACGGTGGGACCAAAATTGATTAAAATTGTTTATAATAGGACCAAAATTAATTGAAATTGTTTATATTAGGACTAAAATTGATGAGTTTTTTATATTGGGACCAAAATTGATAAATTTTGATTATATTGGGACCAAAATTGATGAGTTTTTTTTTTTTATATTAGGATCAAAATTGATTAATTTTGATTATATCGAAACCAAAATTAATTTTTTCTCTAATTATTTTAATTCAAAATATTTAGTATTCAAATAAAATCCTCAACCAAGGGTATTAATATTTAAATATAATTATATTTTGTATTCTTGATTCTTAAAATATGGAATAATAATTAGTAGATTTACCATATTTTGTTACTATAACTTTACTTTTAAATGGGCTATTTCATTAGTAACAATAACATAATCTTCTATTAAATTTTCTCAAAATAGTTCTATATAAAGAGTTTCTAATTTTCAATCAAATATAATTAATTCAGCGAAAATATTAATTTATAATATGGCATTCCCATCTTGTGCCTACATCCTCCTATTTATTTATCTTCTCACTGCACCTGCAAATGGTTCTTATTTTACTTCATCTTTGTTAAACGATGTTATTAAGAGAAAAGTACCTACGGGTCCGAACCCAGAGAAACCACCAGAATCACCACACGCAATACCATTTGACAATATTAAAAGACGAGTTCCTACCGGTCCAAATCCAGAGAAACCACCAGAATCGCCGCACGCAATATCATTTGACAATATCAAAAGAAAAGTTCCTACTGGTCCAAATCCGGAGAAACCACCGGAATCGCCGCACGCAATATCATTTGAAAATATCAAAAGAAAAGTTCCTACTGGTCCAAATCCGGAGAAACCGCCAGAATCGCCGCACGCTATATCACTTGACAATATCAAAAGAAAAGTTCCAACTGGTCCAAATCCAGAGAAACCACCGGAATCACCACATGCAATACAATTTAACAATATCAAAAGAAGAATTCCTACGGGACCGAACCCACAAGAACCACCAGCCATACTACTAAAAAATATTATGAGGAAAATTCCTACAGGACCAAACCCACAGGAACCACCGGCAATTCCACTCGACGACAAGAGAAGTGTAAAAATTCTTGAAACGCCGAACAAATTGTTGGAACTCGGCAACAAGAGAAATGTTCGAATTCCTGAAACACCAGGCAGCCCACTGGCGCTATAGGAAATAGAAACAAACAATAAGAAGAGAATAAGAATTCCCAAAACTTCTGAAAATCCAAAAATTAAATAATACAAAAAAATTATATCCGAAATCAGGTTCTATTCCGAGGAAGCACCTGCAATATGTTAGATAAATAATCATTTGAGATCGAATATAAATGAAATAAAATTTGAACTTTATTTGATGAAATATTTTTATTTCATATGTTCAAGTATATTGTGTGCTAATTTGTGAAAATGTACTTCTGTTTTTACTATTCAATTTTTATTCCGTAAAATATATCAAAGGCAGCCCACTGGCGCTATAGGAAATAGAAACAAACAAGAAGAGAATAAGAATTCCCAAAACTTCTGAAAATCCAAAAATTAAATAACACAAGAAGATTATATCCAAAATCAGGTTCTATTCCGAGGAAGCACCTGCAATATGTTAGATAAATAATCATTTGAGATCGAATATAAATGAAATAAAAATTGAACTTTATTTGATGAAATATTTTTATTTCATATGTTCAAGTATATTGTGTGCTAATTTGTGAAAATGTACTTCTGTTTTTACTATTCAATTTTTATTCCGTAAAATATATCAAATTGAACACTTATATTTTATTTATTATATTACACTATCATTTAATTTTATATTCGAAATATTATTTCAATACATATTTATATCGCGCCAAACAATTATTTCAATTCAAAATTTTATTATTCAAAACCAAAATTAAAAACCAAAACCAAAACCTCACAAATAAATACTCACTGTTTCGCTTAAATTTTGAATTATACCGTGTGAGTTCTGTGCTTCATGCCATATTATAAAATATTTTTTCTCATAATAAAGTCATTTATATCAAAATAATTTTCATTCAAATATTATATACTACTATAATTTATTTTATTATTAAAATATCATATAAGATGTTTATTTAATATGAAATTTCATAATAAACATAGGGAAAAAAATTAATTTTGGTCTCAATATAACTAAAATTTATTAATTTTGGCCGTGTATTTTTCAGGTCAGCTGCCACATCAACTCTGTTGCGTTTACATCAGTCATTTTTGTTAGTTTTTAACGGTGTGACCAAAATTTATTAAAATTGTTTAGAATGTGACTAAAATTGATAAACTTTTTATATTTGGACCAAAATTAATTATATTGGGATCAAAATTAATTTTTTCCCTTTATAATATTAATGAAACTAGTGTTTAATTTTTTATTTTTTTTTCGGTGAAAACCATATTTATAATTTCATATTATAAAAATACTCATGATATTACACATGTATTTTATATATTACTATTTTAATTTTCATTATTTAATAGTAATAATAGTATTGCAATAATAAAATTAACATAATCTTCACTCAAAATTATGCAAAATAATTCTATGGGAGGGTCTTCAATTTTCAGTCAAATACAACTTCAATAAGTGATTTCAATTTATAATATGGCATTCCAATTTTTGTAGTCCTTTATCTTCTATTTGGTCCTATAAATGGTTCTTCTTATACTTCATCTTCTTTAACCGACGATATTAAGAAGAAAAGAATGCCGGAATCTCCATTTTCTTCAGAATCTTCAGAATTTGAAGTAAATATAAAAAAGAAGAGAATTCCTGAAACTTCGAAATTTGACAACATGGAGAAGCACAATGTTCCTCATGGTCCGAATCCAGTGCAACCGCCGGCTGTCGAAACAGAACAAGAGAAACATACAATGAATTCATGAAAGTCCAGACCAAAAGTTTAAAAACTTATTTGATGAACTTAAGTTTAATATAAAATAAATAAATTTCTACGTTTTATTTGATGTAACAACTATTTCATATGTTTGAAATGAATTAAATCATTATTCTGTTTTCTTGTGAATTTTTTTAAGAATTTTCACTATTCATTTAATTTTTCTTCTAAAAATATTAAATCGAATATTAATATTTTTATATTATATTAAAAATTAATTTTATATTTAAATATTAAAAAATTAATATATATTTATATCATATCAAATAATTCTTTAAAATTAAAATTTTACTATTTAAAAAAAAGGAAAAAAATCAATTTTGGTTCCAATATAAAAAATTCATCAATTTTAGTAGTCCAATTATAAAAATTTTAATCAATTTTGGTCCCATTATAAACAATTCCAATCAATTTTGGTCTCACTGTTAAAAACTAACAGAAATTGCTGACGTGGACATATCCAAAGTGATGTGACAGCTGATCAGAAAACTACACGATCATGTACAATTATAACAACATGGTCATATATATTTCAGTGTATAATTATACATTATCATGTTATTACACGGACCATGTACAATTATATGCAAATTGATTTAATGCAGTTTTTAAACTTTTGCATAATTATATGCAAATTGATTGAGGCCAATAGTTTATTTTGTATAATTATATGCAAATTGACTAAATGTAGTTTTTAATCTTTTGGGACCAAAATTGATGCATTACAAAAATAATCACAAATTGCTACCGAATAGTGCTACGGAATATATTTTATTGCAAAATTGCAATGGAATTTGCTAAGCAAATAGAAAATGGTTGTATTTGTGATATACTGTGAGAGAATATTGTAACAAAATAAATCGGTCACAGAAATTCTAGAAATTATGGCGAAGAATATTATATTCCGTTGCAAAATTACGACAAAAATAGCAACATATTAAATATATTGCAGATTTTCTAGAAATTACCCGATAAATATTATATTCATTGCAAAATTGTGACCAAAATAACAACAAATTAAATTCCACAAGGAATTTTATATTCCCTCACAATGTTTCAAAAGAATCTGTAACAAATTAATCTCTAGCAACTATTATAATTTAATCCGCCTCTAAAGTTAATTTTTGATATAAAAATTAATTTTAAATTTTTGAAATTTTAAAAATTTATAACTAAGACACCGACTACTTCGAATCATTTCCCCCAAATCGAACTTCGATTCCCCCATGGCCAAGCTCGTCAACCATCTGCCGTCGCTGCATCGAGGTAGCAATAAAACGATCGGAGGCTTCCAATCCTCTCCTGCACAGTTCAATGTTCACCTGTGCACAGCAGTTGTGGGAAACAACTGCTTCTGCGTCCTGCGCGGCCGAGGCACAGGGGTATAGTTCATCGCCTCTGCGTCACGTCGATCCAGGGCACTCGCCATCTCCGCTATTGATGCCGAGGATGGCAAGAAATCCAAGGACAAGCAGGTACTTAATCGGTGATTTTGTATATTGTTAAGGGTTCTAGTAATCGGTTATTTATATAGTGTTTAGGGTTCTAGTGCAACACTTATACATTACAACTAAACTGCTCTAGCTCAAGTGTCGATTTGTTGTGAAGATGTGACACTGAATGTGCTAGTTGGTGCAATCATTATTTTATTTTATCTTCCATTGTATTGTTTTATGTCATTGTGTCAACGTGAACAACACAAGTTTTCTGTAAGTGTTGGTCAAGAATACATTGCATTTTATATATGTATATTACTGCACCTTAAAGCTTCGTAAACTATGAATTAGCCTTAGGCTATCTCTTTATAGCAGTGAAAAAACACTTGATGAATCCCATGGGCTGTAAAACGGAAAATTAAAAATGATAAAAAAAGAAAGGTTGTCTGAGAGCTACTTTTCAATGGATATTTTAGACCAAGCCAAACAATTCAAATGTAATACATGCTATATATTCTTTCCTCAATAACTGGTGACGGAATCGCAATTTTGTTATTTTGAGTTCCCTTTCTGGTTTGGAAATGATATTGGTAGCCATGGAGGGTGGAGAAAGTGCTTGAAGAGGTGCAGGGCCAGCTCCCTGGCCTACCAAAGTCTCTGTTTTGCCTGCATATTTAAAGATAACATCATTAATTTTCAGTAAGTAACTATTTGATTGGGATTTTCAGCTCCATGGAAACAGAAAAACTTGTCTGATTTCGGAGTTGTCACTCAATGTATCTCACCTACTCGGATTAATGATGAGTACTCGAAAAATCTTCTACTGAAGATAATGCCAAGGTAAGTTGCCTTGTCTTGCAACGTCAAAAAATTATCATCCAAGTTTAAGGACTTCTAGGTAATGTATTGCCGAAAATATTGGTTCGTCGCAGCTTCGTAGGTTGAAATTTGTACAGGCTGACGAGTTACAATCCTCAATTCCAATGGTGTCCAAGGTCCCTACCCTTATATTTGGTATAGATGTATCTCATGGTTCTTCTAGATACTCAGACATTCCATCCATTGCTGCGGTTGGGCCCTCGACTCCTCAGTACTATATATTTATACATATTTTTATCAATTAATATTTTTTACGGTTAAATTAAATATAGAATCCTTCTTTCTAGCTATGCATTGGTAATGCATTATTTGTGTGTAATCATGTGTGCCCTAAACCCGCCTCCTATCTTTAGTTAGAATGCCTTACAGTTCTCCATCTTTAATAACATAAAGTGAGTTTTAGCTTCTCAGCTTCTTGAATCTTCTAATGTATATCTGATTTTTTTAGTTAGCGGTGTCATTAATAATTACGTAAGGATATAATTTTAATGATTGCTTCATCTCCCTGAATCCCAAAAATAGTTTGGTAATATTTGGAAAAAAAAATGTCATTTTCTACTTCTGCTATTTCTTAGAGGCTTCCTCTTATGGCCTTATCCATTTCACTGTTTATTGATATGTAGATTTTGAAAGTTCTATGTCTCCTTCAAGCTAACCCAATCTCAAAGTTATTGAACCCCCCATCACTTATTGGAATGACTATCTCATTAGTGTCAATTCTCCAAATTTGTTGTTATTTCTGTTTCATTTTCAGCACACCTATTATGAATGGGTTTTTCGATATTTTCATGTGTAATGCCTTTAATGTCTGAGTGTGTTGGTATAATCATTACACCCTGTAATATATTTCCAGGTGGTTTATTGATGAGGGAAAAATCTATTGTATATGGAAAGCTATTTTATTTATACATCTGGTAATCTGTTTCAATGCAATAATTATTGCTCTATTGTAGATTTATTTGATGTTTTTATATCTAATCGTATATTATTAGTTTTCATCATTTATGTGCATTGCTCTGCTTCATATGACTACACACATGCAGGTAACTTAAAAAATCTAATGGTACGTGTTCTCCTTGCTTTTTGACTATCTTGCATATTGCGTTTTGGCGTTGTTGGGGAATTTGAAATAGGAAACTAAATGAAGAAGCTAGAGAGAAATGAAACTACTTGTTGATTTTGTATTCAACTTGTTCCTTGGTTCATTTTCAGATATTACTTTACGTTATAATTTAGAAATTGTTTTCTATTTATTTTTTAAAAATAAGTCCAGAGTTATATGTACTGTAATTTTTTTTTTATTTCTCTTGATTATTTATCTGCTACATTGAATTACAAACAAGAAATAATGCAAGAGCCATGATCACAGGATGAGTTATTATCACACATCATTGGCCATATTCAACAAGTAAGTAGTTATTGTTGGGATATTATTATTATTATTATTATTATCATTATTATTATCATTGTTTCGTATGAAAGATCTTTGTGATTTTGTTTGGAAAACTTACATTGTATTCATTCAAATTATTTTTAGAATGAGGTGGATGTCGTTGAAGCATAACTGACTCAACAAAGAAATGCATCATACGGTTCGGATAACATATTTTTCACGATAGTACCACTAGATAAAAAAATAAATGGCATTTATGGGTTGAGATCACTAGTTGAGGTTGTCCTTCCTCGACCATCATCCTTCAGCAGCGATGGTTGGACTCCGGACACATTCATCCTTGAGGAACAATCCGGATAATGTATTTGTGATATTTTTTATTTGGGGTACTGATACTAAATATATTGTGTTTGTAGTCTATTAGACATTGTTTAGATTTGAAAATTCTATATGATTAAGTTAGTTCTCATATCTTTGACGAGAGATTAATCGAATCATTAAATTGGATGGACTGTGGAGGATTGAATTAATATTTGTTATATAGATTTTGTAAAAAATGGTAAAAATAAGCAAAAACAAATTAAATAGCCGGTCTACTATATAAATTGCGATGGAATTAGCAATAGTTATATTCTTTCGTAATGGGTATTTCATTTGCAACGGATTTTGTTTCTTGAAAAATGCGTTGCAAAAAATTGCAATGGAATCAATAAAAAAACCTTTCTCTTGCAATACCAAAAATTTGCAATGGAAATAACGATGACTAATTTTGTTGTAATTTTCTGCAACGGAAAATCTTTTTGTCACTTGTGATTACTACAATAATATTTACTACAACTCTCACTTGGGTGCAAATTCCGTTGTAATTGAAAGTTGTGACGGAAATTTTCTCAGTTGTGATGGAATTTTTCCGTAGTAATTAATAATTCTTTTTGTAGTGATGTACGAACCAAAATTGAATTTTTTCCAAAAAAAAAAAAAAAAAGAACATTCAAGATTCAAACCCTTAAACAAACACAAATGGGTTTATTTGCATTGCGATATTGTTTTCGCAATAGTCGATTTATGATTATTTTGTGAAATTACAGTTAGTTTTGTCTAATTTTGCCTAAAATGTGTATATATATATAGAGAGAGAGCTTATCAAAATTCAAAAGACAGGTGTTTTGTTTACATAATATATTTTGAAATTCGGGAAAAAATCAATTTTGGTCCCAATAGAATAAAAATTTATCAATTTTGGTCCAAATATAAAAAACTCTTTAATTTTGGTCCCAATACAAAAAAACTCATCAATTTTAGTCCCAATATAAACAATTTCAATTAATTTTGGTCTCATTATAAACAATTTTAATCAATTTTGGTCCCACCGTTAAAAAACTAACAGAAATTGCTGACGTGGACGTGACGGAGGGGACGTGGCAGTTAACCTGGAAAGTAGACGGCCATGTACAATTATACACGGCCATGTTGTTACATGGTCATGTATATTTCAGTGTATAATTATACATGACCATGTTGTTACACGGCCATGTACAATTATCATGGCCATGTACAATTATCACGGCCATGTTATTACATGACCATGTATATTTCAGTGTATAATTATACATGACCATGTTGTTACACGGCCATGTATAATTCTACACGGCCGTGTACTTTTCTGTTTCGGTTTAAAATTTTAATTTTGTGTTATATTTTTTAATTTTTTTTTTCAATTTAGAATAGTTGATATAGTTAAAATGAAAAAAAAATCAATAATTATCATAATATAATTAAGGGTAAACTGTTTTTTTAGTCCCGTAATTGGACCCCCTTATTATTTTAGTCCCGTAAGTGGAGCATATCGCAAACTAGTCCCATAAGTGAAAATTTTTCGCTGTTTTAGTCATCCGGCGCCAGAGATGCCCGCATGGCTCGCTGGAGGTGACTTGTCCGCCAGGTGTCCCGCCAGGTCAGCGACACCTGGCGGACACGTGGATTTATTTTTATTTTTCATTTTTTAATTTTTTTTAATTGGACCAAAAAAAATAAAAAAATACAAATAAAATTTAAAATAAATTAAAAATAAGTTTTAAAAAAATTAGAAAAATGAAAAAAAAAATAAAAATCCATGTGTCCGCCAGGTGTCGCTGACCTGGCGGGCACGTCATCTCTGGCGAGCCACGCGGGCGTCTCCGGCGCCGGAGGACTAAAACAACGAAAAGTCTTCACTTATGGGACTAGTTTGCGACAGACTCTACTTACGGGACTAAAATGATAAGGGGGTCCAGTTACGGGACTAAAAAAACGTTTACCCTATTATTAAAATATATCAATTTTAGTTCAAATATAAGTATTTATCGAGTATGTTCTTTTAGAAGATTTTTTCTAAAATTCTACTATTTAGTGAAAAAAATTTTCTTACAAACATCCAATTAATGTATATAAATAATAAATAAATTTTTAATACTACTATAATATACAAAATTAAAAAAATAGTTGTGTAATTGGATGTTTATAAGAGAAATTTTTGTTGTGAATAATAAAATTTTAGACAAAACATTTCAAAAGAATATATCTTATAAATTTTTATATTTGAAATTAAAATTAATAAATTTTAATTATATTATAATTACTATTGATTTTGTCCAATTTAACTCTATTAACTATTTTAAATTCAAAATAATTTTTTTTTTAAAAAAAAATATAACAAAAAAATAAAATTTTAAACTAAAATAGAAATGTACATGGCCGTGTATAATTGTACATGATCGTCTAACAACATGGCCATGTATAATTATACACTGAAATATACATGGCCGTGTAACAACATGACCATGTATAATTATATACTGAAATATACATGGCCATGTAACAACATGGCCGCGTATAATTGTACATGGCCGTGTACTTTTCAGGTCAACTGCCACGTCAACAATTTCCGTTAATTTTTTAACGGTGGGACCAAAATTGATTAAAATTGTTTATAATGGGACCAAAATTGATTGAAATTGTTTATATTGGGTTCAAAATTGATAAATTTTGGTTATATTGGGACCAAAATTGATGAGTTTTTATATTGGCATAAAAAATTGATAAATTTTGATTATATTTGGACCAAAATTGATTTTTTCCCTTATTATTATTATTATTATTTTTATTATTATTATTATTATTATTATTATTATTATTATTATGTCTATACTATACTATGGAATGATTACAATTCTCTTTAAATACACATTATTTATTGTCTTAAAACATCACAACCAAGTCCTATTTAAACACAAACCACAAACCACAAATAGTAAAAAAGGCGAGCAAAGGAATTGGAAGATACAAACCCACAGGGGCATTTTTCTTTCATATAAAAGTTCGCTAATGCATTATCCAAACTTTAGTGTTTCGATTTTTAGATTCAACTATTTTCAGGATCATCATTTGAAACTGAACCATTTGTGTATAAAAGTTATAATGATGCAGATGGACTATTCTGTAGATAGGATTAGCGGTTTTTCCTGCGATGTCGTAAACAAAATTATTGTGTTTATGCCTTTGCAAAGATCCTTGAATGGAAACAATGAGGAAACGGTGTTCGATCAAATTTTGTCGGTTCATGAGGGCGCCATAACCAAGTTCTCACTCAGCGATTGTTGTATCCAAAGTAATTCTTTTGTCTTAACAGCCTTGCGATTTCGATTATCGAGTTTAATAACTTGAAGCCAGTGCCTATTTCCCTGGTTGCTGATCACCTTGAACATTTGTACCTTAGATTTGCTTGTGAAGTCAAAATTCCTTGTTCATCGAGAGGATTTCACAGATTTATTAAACTAGAACTTTTCAATGTTCTTACTGAAGCGGGCGAGTTGGAAGTGTTGCTTTCTAAATGTCCAAAGATAGTACTTGTATCTGAAGGTGGTGGTGTTAAATTCTAGTTTTATCATGGTGTCTACTTTTACTTAAAATCAAATTGAATTGCTAATTGTTTTGCTCTTCTGTGGTTTAATTTTAAGATCATCATCCAAGATGAGATGAAAGAACTTCCGAACAAGCTCAATCATCTCACTGTTCTAGAGCTTGCCGATGTCAGCTTATTAGACCTGAGAGATATCAAAGTTCTTCTAAGCTTGAGTAGTAGCTCCCCCAATTTTCATACCCTTAAACTTTCTGTTAGTGATATGTTAATGTCATTTACACATTTATATTTTATTACATTGCCGCTCATTTCATCCTTCTTTTTCTGTAGAGTGTCTCGTCCAGGGATGAGAACTGCGTCACAGATTATCTGAAGGTGCAGCAGGCTTTTAATGATTTTCTCAGTTGCCTTGAAATTGTGACGATCCAGTCTATGATGGATGGACTTTCCAGCGGAGTTGGAGCTTGTGAATATGCTTTTACGGTGGGCAACCGTGCTTAAAAACTTGGAAATATCTACTCCTTTGGGCTGGCCCGACGCGCGATTAAGCCATATGTGAAGAGAGCTTAAGTGCATCATGCATGTCCAATCATCTACAGTAGCACTTGGCAACTGCAGTTAAGAGATTGGCAATGGACATATGAGGTATGCAAATATAGTACAATCAAATTAGAACATCTCTTCTTATGCTCATTTATAAATTAAACCAAATTTAGGGGTGATTAAATCTAACACTTTACGTTGGTGCGATGGGTTGCTACACAAAGATCTTGATGATTGAAATAATTCATTCCATATAGTAAGGGTGTACAATTAAAACATTCCTTTTGACGTATTCGGGCGTCAATGATATATTCGTAAAAATTCAATTGTGAAGTGGATATTGAATTATTTTGTACCATGAAATCGATATCAAATTTATTTATTTAGTGTAAAGCATTGAACAACAAAGAGATTTTGTAATTGAAGTGTAAAATATATATGTTGAATTGAACGTAAAATATGTTGAATTACCTTTTGGTGAGGGCAGATCTCAAACATCCCAAAAACTTATTATACTCCCTCCGTTCCACGTAACTTTTCATTTTTATTTTTGGAAATATAATTATGCACGGCATTTTAAATTTTATAATTTTCTTAATTTTAATTAAACTATTTTCTTATCTTAATCTTAATTTATAATTATTTTTACTAAATAATAATTATTTTTATTAATACACTTTTTATTTATTTACTAATTATACTTTACCTAAATTCTCGTATCTACAGCAATAGTCCCATATTTTTTGGGACGGAGGGAGTAGTAAATTGCGTGGAATCGTAAAATTATAATTATTTTAATGTTTCGAACATATACAGAGCCTTAGGTATAGAACTGGAAATTTTGCTATTAAGTCAAATAGGAAAAATAAAAATAGTACGTACCCCTTCCATCCTTATTTTTTACACATTGTTTTTAATAGTACTCCCTCCGTTCATTGGAAGGTTAACATTTGTGTAATATATTGTAAATTGAAAGGTATTTATTATGTTAAGTAGACAGTACAATTACTAAATTAGGAAATGATAATCTTGTTTCGGGACAGACGGAAATGGAAAATGGTAACCTTTCAATGGGACGGAGGAAGTATATCTTACAAAGGCAAGGTTCTAAAATTATTCCAAATGAAAATAAAGACAAATTAATTTAAAGTTATCAAAATTATTCAAGTAAAAGCAAATAGTAAAGCTGATAAAACATCAATATATTTTTGTACAATTCTCTGTTACCCAATACATTGTATTGTATGACACATTTGATCTGAACACAACAGGCCAAACCGGTATTGTTCTATTTATGCGACAAAATCCGCAAAATTTAGCATAAAAACTACTCTAACACAATGCATTGTATTGTACGACATTTGCTCTTAATTCAAATGCTGTCTACTGACAAAATCTGCCAACAAAGAAACGATATTACCTTTTTATACATCGACAGGAGATATGCTTCGGCAGACTATATGCCTTCGTCCGTTGGTTCTTCTGACAAATAGACACAGCATATATCAATTTAGTCAGAAATCAAACATCAATGAAACATGCTTCTGATAGAAAACTTTGAGTGTTAAGAGATACAATAATTGAAAAAGGAAATGGAGATTGTATATTGTTGAAAATGAGTGTCTGAGAATAATAAGTACCTTGTGAGTCGTCTTCATCGAACCAGCTTTCCATTTCCAATAATATGTTTACCAAATACTTGACATCCTCAGAGAAGCATAAGAGGCTTTCATCACTTGCATCATCCAGAGATTGTTGCGAAAGATGCTTGGAATTCAGATGCTCTGCAGCTGGGAGAAGATAAATTATGTAGCTGTCATAAATGATTTCACTGGTTTGGAGTAGAATTTGAGGATGAACTTCGACAATAATTCGCAAGACACAGATAGATTTCTCCACATTTTCCATTTCCATCTTCTTTAAATGATGACGGCCGAGTTCAGAAGTCTTCAGGAGGACCTCCAGGATGCATGCTAAATCAGACCAAGTTAAACTGGCGGCCGTTGTCATTGTCGCCATGACAGAGCCGATTTGATATTCTCTCAAGTCTTCATCAATCAGAGGCACGTCCCGGAAGATTTTCAGCGAGTCGATATCATAGGATGTTGCAATATCATTATCATTAACATCGATTTGCCTGTCTTCTTTCCCTTCCTCATTAGCCACCGACAACTTATTCCTTATGTAGTCTACTGTTGCCAACAGTCTTTCCACATCTTCATCGACATACTTACCAACTAAAGGCATCAAATTCTTTGAGCGTAGCCTGCGAGTCACAACCTTCGCTCTACGGGCAGCCAATGCCGTTTCTGTAAGCAAACCTTCGATTTCTTGGCTTTTTCTTGTGTGAAAAACTTTAACAAAGTCATTCAGGAAATGGATGGCTTCTTCCACCACTTCCATTTTTTTTGTGCTTAGAGAATCGCGGCCATGAAAAGCAACCTCCTGGAGTCTTTCCCGAACAAATTTTAAGTAAGCTAAAGATTGACAAGCAGCCCCCGTCATTCTTGCAGTGAAAGTACCAATCGCATATGTGACCTCAAGATTATCGATAACACTGATTCTAATCTCATTTCCCACCTCATGTTGCTCCTCCCATATTTCCTTCGCAGAATCGAAAACAGATTCACTGCATCTGTCCAGCTGTATTGATTGCAATGTTAGTATATCTCCAATGCCTGAAGGGATCTCCTCCAACAAACTCAATCCAGCAAGTCTAAGGCTCTGAAGAATCGGAAAGTGTGCTGCTTCAGCTCCCCAATACACTAAATCATTATCCTCGATGACCAATTCTTTAAGGCGAAGAAATTCCCCTTGAATAGGCAGCCACTCTGACCCATGCAAGTCACCATTAATCTCAAGACTTTCGAGACTAGGCAAAGAACCAACAATTGACATATCTTCCCACGCCATTCTACAGTTCCACACAGACAAATGTTTGAGTGAATTAGGGAAGCTCATGTTCTCTGAGCAATTGTGTATCGATAGAGACTCAAGTTTCTGTAGTTTCTCAAGGTTACATAGAGAATAGTTCGACTGTGTCTTGGGCGCGTTAGATTCATCTTCATAATGAACATTCAATTTCTTCAAATTCGGGATCCGATCAATCACTTCCATGGTACACTTGAAATTATATATCCCATCTATGGTGTGAAGGTCATTTAGGATGAGTAAGTCTTTCCCCTCAACTTCAGTGGCTATAGGATCAGGTAGAAGAATTTTGTATGAACAATCAATCTCTCTGAGTTGCGGCATCTTCCAAATCTCTTGTGGTAAAACCATAGGTGAAGATCTTGGATAAATCTTTAGAGTTTGAAGATTCCAAAGTAATTGTAATGTTGAAGGAGATACCAAATTCACCCCATCTATTTTAACATGACGCGATTCTATTGGAAGCAAAAGTTCCTTCTCAAAACATTTGTGATTTGCAATCTTCACAAAACACTGTCTTTCAACAAGTGAACTCACCATCGTACAAGCATCGCATAAGAAAGGATCAAGTTGTAATGATGATCCAAAGATATAAAATGGTGTCACAATATGCATTCCTTCACCATCCTCGAGTCTTTTAAGACAGCGATTGCAATGTATAGCTTCTCCCAAAGATATATCCACAATTTGCTTTCTAGGAAATTGGAGAAAACATTCATTCTCGGACTCTCTCAAACAAAGATCGCGTAAAAGATCATGAATACCACAGTGACGTGTGTCCCTACTAAAGATTAGATTTCTATCAATGAGAACTTTGACGTACTCCTTTGCAATATCTTCCAAACATCTATGACTTACTGACTTGATGAATCCCTCGGCAATCCAAAATTTGATTAGTTCTGAGACATCAATCTTATGATCTTCAGGGAAAACTCGCATATATAAAAAACAAGCTTTAAGGTGAATGGGCAGGCCCTTATAACTTAAAGAAAGTATTTTCATGCAATGCTCGTCCTCTCCTAAATTAGCTAGTGAGGTAATACTTTTTCTAATATGCTCCCAATATTTTGATGTCATATTAGAATTTGCAAGCAAACGACCAACAACAACAATTTCTAATGTAAGGCCTCTGCAGCTTTTGGCAATATCTTTTGCAAACTTCTCTAAATGAGCATACGGACAATCTATTTGTGAAAAAGCATTCTGACAAAATAATGTCCAACTGTTATTCTCATCTAAAAACGTTAATAGATAAGGATCATACGTTCCCAAAGAAGCAGCCATGTCTGAGATTCTAGATGTAAACAAAATACGACTTCCATTTTCATTGTTAGGAAGAAACCTCTTCAAATCATTCCAAGCTCCAATTGTCCACATGTCATCCAGAACAATCAGATACCTTCTACCGAATAACTTTTGGTAGAATCTAGTTCCCAACACATCTAAAGTCTCCCGTGTATCATTTTGTCCTGCCTTTTCTTCGAGACCAATCTTAAGGATATTTTCAACACTATATTGTTGAGATATTGAAAGCCAAATGCGTAAATCAAAGTGGTCGATAACAAAAGAATCGTCGAAAACACTTTTCGCCAAAGTAGTCTTACCAATGCCCCCCATGCCAACAATTGGGAGGATTTGAAGATTAGAACTACCTCTTATGAGCTTGTCCCTGATTCTATTGATGTGTTCATCAAGTCCCACCACGACATTGCTGAGATATGAAGAAGATAGAGATGAACCTCCAGCACCAACAAAAGGATTCGGTTGCCTCAGAGATCGAGCATTCTCCGCTTCTTCTTCAATCACCGGAAACTCTTTTTTGATGGAGCGAAACTTTTCCTTCAGTGTTTGCATTTCTTCACTGAAAGCTGAGAAGTCTGAAGCATCACTTGTTTCTCCTTGATATATGGCATCGAGTAGATTGCCTGTGTGGAAGTTGATGGCACCTTCTGATTCGGCGGCAGCCTCAGCCATTTGCTTCCATAAACCTCCAAGCTCAGGACTCTTCCTTTCTGAATGAAGCTCGACAAAGTTCAGCAAGAAATCAACATTTTCCCGGAGAGATTGGACTTGTTTGGTGTCGGCAGGAGGGAGATTAAAGTGAGCACGATGGTGGAGATTGTCGAGGACGTGAGTAAGAGAAACCAAAGATGCATAAGCAGCAACAGCCATGTCTCTAAGATAATGAAGATCGATTCAATAACACTGATGAACGAATGAATAGAGGGAAGATGGACTGGTGAATCTTTAGCTATTAGCAGTGTTATCTCCAACATGTTGCAGTCAAATTTAAATCCTCATTATTATTATTATTATTATTATTATTATTATTATTATTATTGAACCCTTCAATCATTCATTCAAGATTTCATTTTAGAGATGCTCAATTTTTTTTACAATTTAATTGCATATTCTTCACACAAGCTTTCAAAGAACTTGCAATAAAAGATATGACAGGCGAATGAAGTTAAGTTTGCCTATCTTCAGCTGTCTATCATAATCTGCCAAAATAAACGATGCCGTTTGAGTCTTTGATTAAAATATGGAAAATTTCGTATGTCCTTTTCAGCATCAAGTGGATGACTGAAATGTATTCAATTATTCAATTCATTGAATCTACTGCAACTTGCTCCACTATGCTTGTTTAGTCTTTGGAGGACATGCAAACCGATTTATGCAACTTGCTCCACTATGCTTGTTTAGTCTTTGGAGGACAAACCGATTTATGCAATTTCATTTCAAATTGAAATTTTAAATTTCAAAATAATACATCTTTAATTATTGAGAAAGAGAATTGTGTAACATGGGCAGTCGACTGACTTATTATTTTCCGGAAAAAAAATTAAATGACTAAGTGAGCGAATGCATGCATGTCAAATAGCCCCGTTCCTTCGATCTTCGATATGTTTGGGCCAAGATTAAAACCAGGGCCTTAGGTGTATTACATGATATTTTATTTACCTGCAGAAGAAATAAAAATAATTAATAAAATAATTTCTGAATATTTTTTTGATACAAAATCATCGATAATTATATAAATCTGAAATAAAATGTTTTTTTTTGTTTTAAAAGATATATGCATGTTCTTTACAAATATTTTCCATTGTTTAAAGCTTGTAGGCTCAATTTCAAAAGTTTCTCATATCTCTAGCAAACTTACTATTTTTTTTGCTTTAGCATTTTAGGTAAATCATCATCACTGATTTAATGATATAATTTAATGACAAACTTAACTCAAGTTTATATTACCAACACCGCTCCTTAAACTTGAAGCTTTGTGACACCCAAGAGTGCTTGCCCATTTGAAATCACTAAACTTCAACGGTTTAGTAAAGATGTAAGCAACTTGATCACGAGTCTTCACATACTTGAGAGCTCATTCCTTGCAGCACTTCCTTTTATGAAATGATATCGCAAGTCAATATGCTTACTCCTTTCATGAATAACAAGATTTTTGCTCAAAGATATTGCCGATCAATTTTCAACATGAATGGCAGTAGCTTCATCTTGAGGATAGCCAAGATATTCCAACAATTTTTGCAACAAGATCGCATGACAAACACAGGACACAGCAGCAACATATTCAGCCTCACAGGTGGAAAGTGCGACGATTTCTTGCTTCTTTGAACATCAAGTGAATGCAAGATTTCCCAAATAAAAAACATAGCGAGAGGTGCTCTTTCAGTCATCAATATTTCCTCCCCAATCACTATCGTTGTATCCAGTTAGTCCAAAATATCCAACAGCAGAATAAAATAAATCATAATCGATGGTTCCTTTGATGTATCTTGATATTCGCTTAGCTGCTTTCTTAATGGATTGAACTTGGTGATTCCATAAATCGACTGATGATACCAACGCTGTACAAGATATCTGGTCTTGTACATGTCAAATATCTCAAATAACCAACCAAGCTCCTGAACATTCCAGGATCTACCTTTTCAGCTTCATCATTTTTGAATTTGGAATTCATCATGCCAAAATCCTTTAGCACTTTCTCAGCATAAGCCTTTTGGAAATTGAAATCCCTCCGTCACTTTGCTGCACCTCAATTCCAAGATAATAGGACATGGGGCCTAAATCCGTCATTTCGAATTCTTCAGTCATCCTCCTTTTAAAATCATCGAACATGCTCGGGTCATGCCCTGTAAAACTCAAGTCATCCACATATAGACATACAAGTAAAACACCACCATTTTTGTTTTTCCTTAGATACACAGCATGCTCATGTGGGCATTTTCCAAATCCACATTTCAGAAAATATGCATCAATCCGTTTATACCAACTTCTCGGTGCTTGGGTGAGCGCATACAACGCCCTTTTCAATCGCAACACCTTATCCTCCTTCCTTTCAACAATGTAACCTGGTGGCTGCTCTACGTATACTTCTTCTTCTAAGTATCCATTCAAAAAATCCAATTTCACATCCATTTGGAAGATTTTCCAATTGTGTTGGGTTGCTAAAGATATGACCAGTAGAATGGTTTCCAATCAAGTGACTGGAGCGAATACTTCCTCATAATCAATTCCATCTTTTTGCGAAAAGCCACGAGCAACAAGTCTAGCTTCGTATTTCTCAGCCTCTCATTTGGCATTTTTCTTTATCTTGAATAAGCATTTCAGTCCCATTGTTTGTTTTCCTACTGGAAGTGTCGCCATTTCCCAAGTATCATTTTTCAAGATCGCCTTTATTTCATCATCCATCGTCTGCTTCCTTTTTTCATCCTGGACATCTTCATCAAATGTAATTGTTTCAGCATCAGAGTATAAGGAACATGAGCTTGTACCTCATCAGTTTCCTCATAGAGATCTGATAATTGTCTGGCATGACGAGGGCGACCAGACGAACTTGGTGAGGAAATTGAATTCACATGAGAACCTTGGGATGAAGAAAGTGTTGACTTATTTTTCCTTAATGTGGAAGGGCATTTCGGTAACTTCACATATGGATAATCAACCTTTGTATAAATTTGATATTGAGTGGATTATGATTAGAGAGTGATTAAGAAAGGTGCAGCCGCCACTTTGCTCTCTGTGTGCGCAGTCTCGGTAAAACGACGATCTACGAATATTCAACCGTCGGATCGTTCCCAAATTTATGAAAAAGGTTTCTAACTCCTATTACTATATTCAGAACGGTGGAGATTGGAATAGGAACATCACAAGTTCTGATATAGACACGAACAGAGAGCTCTGTTCCTTCCCGGATTCTTTCGGAGTAGTTTCGGTGTTGATATTGAATCGGAAGATATAACCGTTGGATCAGGCTGTAATTTGAGTATGTTGTTGACGACATCGTTGAGTAAATTATGAACGGTGGAGATCGTGATAAGAGGTTTGGATCATTGAGTATTTGGGTCCGAACAGAAGGGTACGTTTTGTGAGTTTTCTATTTAACTCATATATTCGTTGACAAGATTGGTGTTATATCTTGTGAGTTGGAACTTGGGTTGATTTTTGTGTTGAACGATTTGTACCCCTTTTTTATCATAGTGGAGATTTTGTGGACTTCGGTCCCGTGGTTTTTACTCCTCACATCGAGGAGGTTTTTCACGTAAAATTGCTCGTGTCCTTGTTGATTGGTTGCATTACATTTTCGGAGTGATTATTCTATTGTTATTGTTTCCTACCAGATTCACACAAGGGGATAATTCATACTTTAACGAGCATTAGTCCCATCAAAGTGGTATCATAGCGAGGTTTCTTTTTTATTTCTTGTGGTGAATGTGGAAACGAATACAAGTAGAATGGTGAATCTTAATGGTTCAAACTATCATGTATGGAAGGGAAAGATTGAGGATCTTCTATATGTGAAAGATTTCTATCGACCAGTTTTCAAAACTGACAAGCCTGAGGATAAAAGTGATGCCGAATGGAATATCATGCATCGGCAAGTATGCGGTTACATCAGGCAGTGGGTGGATGATAATATTTTGAACCATGTTAGCGGAGAAACAAATGCACGGTCACTATGGGAAACGTTGGAGCAATTATATAAAAGGAAAACTGGGAATAATAAATTATTCCTTATCAAGCAGTTGATGAATCTAAAATACAGAGACTATGATTGATCACTTGAATTCATTTCAAGGCATCATTAACCAATTGGCAGGAATGAATATCAAGTTTGAAGATGAAGTACAAGGATTATGGTTGCTTGGTACATTGTCGGATTCGTGGGAGACTTTTAGGACATCTTTGTCAAATTCAGCCCCTGATGGTACCGTTACAATGGACCTGGTTAAGGGTAGCGTGTTAAATGAAGAAACGAGAAGAAAATCGCAAGGCTCTCATCAATCAGAGGTTTTGGTCACCGAAAGAAGTGGTAGAAGCAAAAGTAGAGGTCTGAGAGGCAAACCAAAAAGCATAAGTAAATCCAACAGATATAGCAAGATTGAGTGTTGGAATTGTGGAACTCCCGGGCACATAATGAAGTACTGCAGAAAACCCAAGCAAGATAGCAAGAAGGATAAAGAAAAAGAAAAGATGCATGAAGATAGAAAGGATGATGATAGAGTATTTGCTGCAACAGGTGATTTTTTTATCCTCCGTGATTATGAAGTTGTCAATCTTGCATACCATGAGAGTAGTTGGGTGATTGATAGTGGTGCATCTATACATGCCACATCTCGGAGAGATATGTTAACATCCTATACGTCAGGTGAATTTGGAAACATTAAGATGGGTGATGATGGCTTGGCTAAAGCTATTAGTGTTGGAGATGTATGTTTGCAGACTACTAATGGTACTGCATTGGTTTTGAAGAATGTTAAGCATGTGCTTGGTCTTCGATTGAACTTGATATCCATTGAAAAACTTGATGATGAAGGTTTTTGTAACTTGTTCTCTAATGGTCAGTGGAAGTTCACAAGGGGTTCTTTGGTTATTGTTAGAGGCAAAAAGTATTCCTCATTATACTTGATGAAAGCAAAGCTACTTGATCGCTCTATAAATGCGGTCGTGAATGAAGGAAGAATTGAGCTATGGCACAGCAGACTCAGCCACATTATTGAGAAGTGATTGAAAATCTTAGAGAAAGAAAAGTTCATTCCTGACTTGAAAAATGCATCTTTGAAGAAGTGTGCTCACTGTTTGGCAGGAAAGCAAATTAGAGTGGCTTTCAAGGCATCAACTCCTTCGAGGGCGTCAGGTACACTTGACATAATTTATTTTGATGTTTGTAGCCTTATGAGAACAAAAACTCTTGGTGGCGCTCTCTATTTTGTACCTTTATAGATGATCATTAAAGAAAGGCGTGGACTTACACATTAAAGACTAAAGATCAAGTGCTTGATGACTTCAAGCAATTTCAGGCCTTGGTTGAAAGGCAAACTGGGAAGAAGTTGAGATGCATCAGAACAGATAATGGTGGGGAATACATTGGTCCTTTTGATGAATATTGCAAGAAGGAAGGCATTCGACATCAAAAGACTCCAACGAAGACTCCTCAGTTGAATGGACTTGCTGAAAGGATGAATAGAACACTTGTCGAGAGAGTAAGATGCTTGCTGTGCGAAGCAGGTTTGTCTACATCTTTTTGGGGTGAGGCTTTACGTACTGTTGTGCATGTTTTAAACCTCACACCATGTGTTCCACTAAACTTTGATGTCCCAGATAGGGTTTGGTCTGGGAAGGATGTTTCCTATGATCATTTGCGGGTCTTTGGATGCAAAGCATTTGTGCACATCCCCAAAGATGAAAGGTTTAAATTGGACATGAAGACTCGATGGTATGTATTTGTCGGGTATGGACAAGATGAGTTTGGCTACAGATTTCATGATCCAGTGGGGAATAAACTTATTAAAATTCGAGATGTTGTGTTTGTTGAGGACCATACGATAAAGAACATTGAGAAAATGAATAAATCAGCTTTTGCACTCAAAGATGATTTGATAGACTTTTATATAGTCCCTCATAGTCACACTCAAGTGGAAGTTCACAATGAGAGTCGTGAGGAGAATCTGGATCAGCCTAATTTTGGTGGTGATGATGTCACTTCTGAGGAGATAGAGGACACAAAAACGCTACCGCCAGAGGTTCTGCAACCAGCCCAGGAACCACTTAGAAGAAGCAACAGAGCTCATGTACCTTCTACGTTGTATAATCCAGATCCATATGTGTTTTTGACTAATTTGGGAGAACCAGAGTGCTATAAAGAAGCAATACAAATCTCACAGAAAAATAAGTGGTTGGAGGCTATGCAATAAGAGATGAAGTCTTTACGTGAAAATGACACGTATGAACTAGTTTAGGTTCCAAAAGGAAAGAATGCTTTGAAAAATAAATGGGTGTATAAAGTGAAGCAAGAAGAGCACATTTCAAGACCACGATTCAAAGCCAGACTAGTTGTGAAGGGCTTCAGTCAGAAAAAAGAGATTGATTTTGATGAAATATTCTCACCGGTAGTTAAGATGTTTTCTATTCGCTTTGTTCTTGGCTTAGCAACTAGTCATGATGTGGAGATTGAGCAGATGGATGGAAAAACGGCTTTTCTTCATGGTAAACTCGATAAAGAAATCTACATGGTACAACCTGAAGGTTTTGAAGCAAAAGGGAAAGAAGACTATGTGTGTAAGCTAAAGAAAAGCGTTTACGGGTTGAAACAAGCACCTAGATTGTGGTATCAGAAATTTGAGTTGGTTATGGGGGAGCAAGGCTACCATAAGACTACTTCTGATCACTGTGTGTTTGTGCAAAGATTCTCGGATGATGATTTTATTATATTGCTACTTTATGTCGATGATATTCTGATTGTTGGCAAAAATGATTCGAGAATTGACAGATTGAAGAAGCAATTGAGCAAATCCTTTGCTATGAAGGATTTAGGACCAGTCAAGAAAATTTTAGGCATCAACATCTTCAAAATAGAGCAAACATAAGACTACAATTATCTCAAGAATCGTACATTGAGAAAACTCTTGAGAGGTTCAATTTGAGCAAAGCTAAAGTGGTTAGTTCTCCTCTTGCTACTCACCATAAGCTTGGTGCTCAACATATTCCTTCTACCGATGAAGAGAAAGAAATGATGAAAAGAGTTCCTTATGCTTCAGTTGTTGAAAATTAGATGTATGCGATGGTATGCACGAGGCCAAATATAGCTTATGCAGTTGGCGTTGTCAGTCGCTACATGTCTAATCCAGGAAAAGAGCATTGGAATGTAGTGAAGTGGATATTGAGATATCTACGTCGCAGTTCAAGTTCAAGGCTTACATTTGGTGGTGGATAATCTTGGCTAGTTGGCTACATGGATTCAGACATGGCAGCTGATGTGGATACTAAGAAATCCATCTCAGGATACCTAATAACCTTTTCCGGTGGAGCTGTATCTTGGCAATCAAGGTTGCAAAGATGTGTTGCACTCTCTACAACTGAAGCAAAGTATATCGCAACGACTGAAGCTTGTAAAGAGTTGTTGTGGATGAAGAAATTTATGGAAGAGCTTGCGGCCAAGCAAGAAAGGTACATAGTACTTTTTGATAATCAAAACGCCACTCATTTGGGATAGAATTCTACTTTTCACTGTAGATCGAAACATATTAATGTGCGTTATCATTGGATAAGAGATGTTATCATTGATAAATTGATTGAACTTGAAAAGGTTCATACGGATGATAATGTTGCAGACATGATGACGAAAGCTTTACCAAGGGAGAAGCTTGAGATTTGTAGATTGATCGCCGGGATGGCGAATCTCTCTACATAGTCGTTTAGAATTGAGGATTGCTCCACATAGTCGGAAAAGGGGAGATTTGTTGAATTATTTTTCCTTAATGTGGAAGGGCATTTCGGTAACTTCACATATGGATAATCAACCTAGGTATAAATTTGATATTGAGTGGATTAGGATTAGAGAGTGATTAAGAAAGGTGCAACCGCCACTTTGCTCTCCGTGTGCGTAGTCTCGGTAAAATGATGATCTACGAATATCCAACCGTTGGATCATCTCGAAATTTACACAGAAAGTTATTCACTCATATTTCTACATTATGAACGGTGGAGATCAGAATCGGAACATCACAAGTTCTGATATAGACACGAGCAGAGAGCTCTGTTCCCTCCCGGATTCTTTCAGAGTAGTTTCGGTGTTGATATTGAATCGGAAGATCCAACCGTTGGATCAGGCTGTAATTTGAGTATGTTATTGGGGACATCGTTGAGTAAATTATGAATGGTGGAGATTGTGATAAGAGGTTTGGATCATTGAGTATTTGGGTTTGAACAGATGGGTACTGCTTGTGAGTTTTCTATTTCACTCATATATTCGTTGATAAGATTGGTGTTATATCTTGTGAGTTGGAACTTGGGTTGATTTTTGTGTTGAACGATTTTTACCCCCTTTTGATTATAGTGGATATTTTGTGGACTTCGGTCCCGTGGTTTTTACTCCTCACATCGAGGAGGTTTTTCACGTAAAATTACTTGTGTCCTTGTTGATTGGTTGCATTACGTTTTCAGAGTGATTATTTTATTGTTATTGTTTCCTACCAGATTTACACAAGGAGATAATTCGTACTTTAACAAGCATTAGTCCCATCAGAAAGGTGTGATGTTGTTTTTGTAGTCACAACTTCAAGAGCAATTTCATCATCAACTGGTAGTGGAAGAAAATTATAATTTTCTTCTTGTGTACTCCAATTCCATGTGCTTGATTCGTCGAATTGAATATCCCAACTGACAATCAATTTCTTCTTCTCTGGATTATAGAACTTGTATCATTTTGATTTTTGGTCATACTCAATGAATACTAGCTTTCTACTCTTGTCATCCAATTTCTTTCTCAATTCATCTGGAACATGAGCGTAAGCAAGGCTGCCAAATACACGAAGATGTGACATATTTGGTTTCTTTCCACTCCATGCCTCTTGTGGTGTAACTTTGTGCAAGCTCTTCGTTGGTCGTGTTGCATAAATAAACTGCACAAGCCACGGCTTCCACCCAAAATTCCTTTGGAATTTGCTTTGATTTCAACATACTTCGGATCATGTTCAAGATTGTCCTATTCTTCCTCTCCACAACCCCATTTTGTTGGGGAGAATATGGAGCTGTTAACCTTCGATCTATCCCATGGTCCTCGAAAAATTTGTTGAAGGCATCTGATGTGAGTTCTCCCCCTCGATCCGTTCTCATTGCTTTGATTTTTAGGCCTGCGCTGTTCTCAACCATAGCCTTGAACCTTTTTAATGCATCGAGTGCTTCGGTTTTTTCCTTCAAGAAATAAACCCATGTCTTGCGAATATAATCATCAATAAACAGAAAAAATAAATTCTTGTTACCGAATGATGCTGGAGTGATAGGACCACAAATATCTGCGTACACCAATTGCAAAGGCTTCGTGGCACGATTCCAGATTCCTTTGGGAAACAATTTTGAAATTGTTTTCCCAGAATACAGCCTTCACGTAATTGATTTGGATGATTTATCAGAGGTAAACCTTGTGCCATTTTCTCCATTGTCATATTTTTCAGCCCATCAAAAGTCAAGTGGCCAAATCGTTGATACCAAAGCCACGACGGATCTTCAATAGACATGTTCAAATACTTAACATGATCTGGATAAATGTAAAGTTTGAACATTCTATTGTTTTTCATCTGAACCTTTGCAACTAGCTTTCCATTTTCATTTCTCATTACCAGCCTATTTCCCTGCATATTAAACTCATATCCCTTTTCCAATAATTGGCCCATGCTTAGAATGTTGGACTTCAAGTCCGGTACATAATAGACGTGAAAAATAAACTCATGTTCTTGATTCTTAACTTTGATTAGAATATCACATTTCCCTATAATTGGCACCTTTGAATCATCTCCAAAAGAAATAATTCATTTCACAAATTCATCAAGATAGGAGAACAAGGATTTGTTTCCGGTCATGTAATTGCTAGCACCGAAGTCAAGAAACCAAGTCTCTTGAGGTTTTTTCTGATTCACCTTTGCAAGACAATAGCAATGTGGATTGCTCTTCTTCTTCAGTAGCCTCCATTTAGTTTGCCTTTTCAAGTCTATTGGAGTTAAATTTGCAATCTTCTTCTTCAGTAGCCTCAATTTGGTTCGCCTTTTCAACTCTATTGGAGTTAAATTTGCAATCTGCTGCAAAGTGTCCAAATTTTTGGCAATTGTAGCATTGGACATTATTTTTCCATCCGCGACCTCCATGAAAACTACCCTGTCTTCCTCGTCCTCGAATTTTTTGTTCATGTGAGTCTGTTCAGATCTAGCACCATAGTTTGCCTGCATTCTTTCTCGTTCAAAACCTCGGCAATGACCATGACTTCTTCCTCGTCTTCTGCCTCTACCTCTGTTGTTTCTGAATTTCTCATTCTCATACTGTACTGATAATTTCTATTGCAGCACCTGGACAAACGGCTCTTCTCGTCGTTTGATTCTTTCCTCATGGGCCTGTAATGACACCAAAAGATTATCAATAGGCAAGTCTTCCAAATCCTTTGATTCCTCAATTGAAGTAACGACATAATCAAACTTCGGATTCAATGATCTCATAAATTTCTCATTCACCCGAACATCATCAATGATTTCGCCATATCTCTTCAATTGATTGACGACGGCAAGGACTCGGTTCACGTAGTCTCCAATACTTTCAGAATCCTTCATTTTCAATTATTCAAATTTTCCCCTTAATTTTGTAATCGAACTTTGATTACCTTATCTTTTCCTTGACAAGAATTTTGAAGAATCTCCCACGCTTCCTTCGTTGTGCTTGCCGATGAAACCTTTTCAAACATATCGTCCTCTAGACACATGTGAATGAGGGAGAGAGCCAGCTGGTCCTTTTTCTTTAATCTATTGTGTGGATCTCGTTGTGCTACTATCATCCCTTCCGTAGTTGAAGATGAATCATATCCTCTATAAAAAATATCCCACACTCTTTGCGATCCAAGTATGGCTTTCATCCTGATGGACCAATGGCCATAATTTTCTTGAGTTAGTTTTGGGTATTGAAATGGTAGAGTGCTATTCATTTTGATGCTTTCGTGACAGTGGTGGCGGTGGCTCTGATACCACTTTGTTGGATTTGGCAGAAGAGAAAATTGCAATAACGAACAACGGAATGGACAATTCAGAAACTTGCCTTCTCACACAATAACATGAATACACAGACATTATAAATAGCAGTTACAAAGCAACCAAACAGTCCCTTAACACATAACTCAGACACTGAGAAACTAAACGAACAACACACAATAATTAATACACAATTTAATGACCAAATTAACTCAAGTTTATATTACCAACAATATCTCTTATTGAAATAGTATAACACTTATTTTGAAATCCAAAAGTAGTAGAGGTAGCCTTCACCCACAAATTATTTTGAAGGTTCATCTCAAATAACATGCATTTCACCATTTAAACAATAGTTTGATTTTTCAATTCTACTACTCCATTATGTTAAGGAGAATATGGTGTTGTGAGTTGATGATCAAGGTCATTATTATGGAAAAAATATTGAAAACACTTGAATTATACTTCATCCCATTATTAGTTTGAAAGTGTATTGCAACCACTTTGATTTTCAGCAATCACTTTAAATCCGTTGAACACTTCAAACACCTAGGATGTTTGCTTAATAAAATATATCCTAGTCATTTTTGTCAAGTCATCTATGCACAACACAATATATCAATATCCATTGCATGATTCATTTTTCATAGAACTACAAAAATTTGAGTCAAGAAGTTGGAAAACAATGCACACCTCATTTGGATTAGAGATTAATGGCATGCGCTTACCAAATTATTTTTACCATGTGAGAAAGAGCTTCGTGATGTTGGTGTGCTTACATTATATACCACAATCTTGACACATCAACATTAGAGATTTTAGCCATTTCAACTTCAGTATGCATGTAGAGCGGAAAACACTTGTCAACCATTGGATTTTTAACAAGCAAAGTCTTGTGCATATCATGGATAAAACGATTGTTATGCTTGAAAAATAAAGCATATCCATTGTAGCAACTAACCAACACTGAGTAAATTTTGTGTTAGTTGTGGAATGTAGAGAACATTTTTTGATCAGCATAGTATCTTTACCTATATGTGTCTTCTTACTTTTGCTTGTAACATCTCACTATTACCAATCTTCACTTTGGTCTTTATGAATATATCATGACTGATAAATAGGCTCTCAGTACAAGAAAAAAAATATATCACCATTTCTTTTTGACATAACAACTTCAAACCATTTACATGTAGATGGCCATAACGTAAGTGCCAAATATTTGATTCTTCATTTCTCCTAACAACCAAAGCTTTGCCCACTGATCGAGAGACATCCAATGGAAACATTTGACTTCTTGTCATACCGATAGTCGCTAGTGTCTGACAAGAATTTTTTTCACGAGTAATGCATGATTCGCCATCAAACATAACCGAATAGCCACTTGAAATTAATTGTCCTACACTTAGCAAATTATGAGCTAATGTAGGCACAAATTGCACATGATGGAGAAGACGGTAATCACCTTGAATTGTTTTCACAATAATTGTACCTTTTCCTTCAATATTCATTTTTTTTCCATCACCAAGTCGAACTTCTCATTTTTGTGTTTCATCAAGATCTTTGAATAAAGATTTATTTCCCGACATGTGATTTGAGCAACCACTGTCCACAAACCAAATATCTTTATTTTCATCACCACACATCAATGAATGTGTCATAAATAATTTGCTTGTTTCTTCGGTTTGCTCGGTAAAATTTGTCTGCTTCTGTTCATCCTTCTGCTTTGCCCAACAATAAGCCTCCTTATGCCCTAACATGTTACAATATTTGCATTGATAATGATTTTCTAATTGGCGTGGTTCAAAAGACCTGCCCCTGCCTCCACCACGACCTCGTCCTTGAAAGCTACCTCTGCCGTGCCCACGATTTACAAAAAATTCAGACTTTCCCTTTGAACTCTCCCCTTTAATTTGAAACGCTTTTTCTTCTGATTTTTCAGAGAATCTGTTCAATCTTGCTGCATGCGACATCAGAGAACTCATCAATTCATCAAGTGTATACGTTAACAAGTCCTTACTTTCCTCAATTGTAGCAACAACGTGATCAAATTTTGGAATCAAACTTCTAAGAACCTTACTGACAACAATCTGATCACTGACCGATCCAGATTCTCCATAACACTTCATATGGTTGACAATACCAGAAACACGTGACATATATTCTTAGACAGATTCTTTTTCTTTCATACTCAGTGTTTCAAAATCATGCCGAAGGGTTTGCAATTAATCATAAGTACTTTGTCGTCACCCAAATATTCTTGCTTCAGAATATCCCATGCCATCTTGGATGTTCTCGCAGCTGCAATACGGGGAAAAAATCATCCTCTAATGCCGATTGGATGAGTAGCAATGCCTTTGCATCTTTTTTACGATTTTCCCGCAATTGTTGATCAGGTGCTGCAGGAGCTGGGTCTGGGTCATCAAATCTAATTTCAACCAAATCCCACAATTCTTGAGACTTGAATAAAGTTTCATTTTCATACTCCAAAGATGGTACTTCTCTCATTTGAAGATTGGAATTAATTGTTGAATTGAAGAACTTCCATTTGACATTTTGCAGACGAACAAAAAACTTCAAAAAACTTTACTTTTGAAAAGAAGATACGACACAAGCCTTCACTTTTTTCTTCGCTGCGGAGAATATGGACCAAAAACTTGGAATTTATTTGCAAATAAGAACAAAGGAGAATATTTTATTTTTGCTAGAAAATATGATACAATAATTATGATACAATAATTACTAAATATTAAAAAAATTCAAATTTTAAACCAACGGTTGCAACTCCTAATAATATGGCCATATTATTTATTTAATAACAATAATAATTTGAAGCACTTGATTAACCATTCTCGGCGGTTTCACAGCCATCGTAAACCTTGCAAGAGATCCGATGACTTTCTCTGGGCACCTCGAAGGCATCTCCGGCAGGGGTGGGGTACCACAGGCCTCTTCTAGCTCTCGACGTGGCCTGCCATCGACCCCGGATATCAGATCCACCCTCACCATCGCAGCCGCTGCCGACGCCTCGGGGCCGGGTCCATTAAGGCAGCGCGACGCCGGTGGTTGGGAGGAGGATGACGATTAAATCGTTGCTGTGGGGTGTGTTGTCCGGAGCGGCGAAGCCAGATTTCCGCGGCCTAGTAACGACCCGAATGCCCCATCTAGGGGCTTTGTTGGTTCTAGCAGCTCCTCTGCCCCACCTAGAGTTCCGCCCCAGGAATTGTTCAACGCGGCCGCTCCGATTGTTGGGGTGATGTGGTTGATAGAAGATGCCATTAGCATCAGGACCCGCCTTTGCTCGCCGAAGATAACAAAATTCATACTTTGGCATTTTTTATGGCCATAGAGGATCTCATTTCAGTTTGTTTGTTCACAATACAGATCTGAAATCTCAATCTCCATATTTAACTAGATCATTAATTAATCCTCGTTTGTGTGTCAGTGCGCCTTTATGTACGAATCGAGGATACATGAGATCCTCCAGGAAGAGATGGACCCGGAAGCCGCCAGACGCGACGACATCGGAGCAGCTAGCCCCCTCGTCGCTTCTTCAGGAGGCATGGACATGCATCTTGAATTGGTGCTTCAGGAGGATTGGGATGACGGTGACAACAACACCGAGTTGATCTACTCGGGGACGATGGCGGTCGCTGTGGTTCTGACGATGGAGCATATCGTCGTCGCCAACTGCGTCGACTCACTTGCCATCCTCTACCACACTGGAAGAATAATCCCACTCACTGACGACCTTAAGGTACATAACCATCGACTCATTTTTTGGGTTGTTTTGGGTGTCTAACCCTATTCATCATCTTGTTAGCTTAGGGTGTGATTTTAAAACAAATATTTCCATATTTTTGTTAGTTTTGTTTGATTCGGTTAAATCAATGTTGAATGTAAATTTTCACGGGAATAGATTAACAGTTTTCCTTAGCAATTTTCCTCCTTCAATAACATCAAACATTCGTAAAGGACATGTGGATTGTCATACCTAAATACTGCAGTTTTTATACGCTTTAATTTATTAAGTTCTAATTTTTCTCTCAGTTTTCTTTTTCCCAAATGTTCTCTTGTAACTATTAATGCAGTGTTTTAAAGAAGAAAGAGTCAACAATGGAATGCAAATAGGAAAAATCTATGTTTTCATCGAAGCCAATAACAACTGACTTTCTCGCTTTATGGATTGTTGACCAATATACTAACGCTCAAAAGTCAGCACATACGAGCTTGATCTCTAACAGAAAAACCCGGATACAGTTTGGACTTCTTGTAATACGTGCGAGACACATTATGAGTACTCTAATGAGTATAGGAATAAGCTTCTGGAATGTCTTTAAGTGTCAACATCTTTTAATGGCAACTAAAATTCGTGCTCTTAATTTAAAAGCTTGAGTTATGTAAGAAGTGTGCCACCTGCAGCACTGGAAAGCTCCAGGAACATTGCTCCACCTTCAGATGCAGCCTTAAGAAATCCAAAAATGGAGGAGCCAATTAATGGTGGTTCTTCAGGTGCTACTTCAACGTGCGCTCAAAGAAGTTGAGAAAAGGCTGGTAGGAAGCAAAACAGTGCAACAACTAAGGCGTCTCATTACCCAAAAAAGGCACATTTGGCGTAGATAAAAATAATGCACCAAAATATGATATTAGCGGAGACTACCGCGCCTTATTATGTTTTATATATCAAATATAATTATTGTTTTAAGTAAACGTCTTTTTAAACACCTCATTTTCATTTCTTTTAATAAATTTTGAAAGCGGCCGAAGTTGGAGCCTCTCATTTAAAAAAATAATAAGTAGGTGTCACAGTCAGCACCAAAGTTCTTATGACGTTTAAATTTAAAATAAATCTAGCTTACAGAACCAAGAGGATGATGTTATGCTATTGATGCATCATTCATTTGAAAAATTAACTCACACATTTTTTAAAAAAAAATGTACGTAGCAAGAAGAGCTGATAACCACGCACTACAAAAAAAATATTATATTTGTAACGGAATTCTGTCCCTAAAGTTCATGTAGCTAACGTAATTCCATTCCTAATTCCGTCTCTAATGTCATTAGTAACAGAAAAAGTAGATTTAGAGACAAAAATATTTTGTTACAAAAATGATTTTTTCTTGTAGTGACGCATCTACTATTTTTGATGTATTTTTTCAACAATAAAAAAGTAAAATCCGAAAATAGGAAATTATCTTCGAATTTGATATATTTAGTGCATGAGATTAGGAATCTCTAACCACTGTAGGATACATAAATAAACTGGAAAATAAAAGACTATAGACTGGAAAATAAAGTGGTGATCTCCAAAAGCAATTCTCTTAAAATTTGATGTCGATTGAAGATGATTGAAGATAAAAAGTCCGCATCCTTAAATATTCCTTCAAGAAAATGTTTCAGAACCGTCGCCTGGTTGGTTACAGCAACCGCCCACTAATTCTTCCTTCACTGACACGTGTCTTACACCGTCTCCCCAAATGCTGCCACCAGTTCCAGAACTTAACTGGCCCGACCGACTATTCTAGAGACTAACTGGTCGCTAGACCAAACGATTATTGGTCGCCCCATCAAGCGGCTAGCATCTGATCTCTCCAGACATTTCAATGGTCGCCCCAACCAAGCGACTTGTTGGTCCGACCGCAGACCTTCCGACTTGTTGTTCCAGCTGCAAACCTCCCGACTTGCAGACCATCCGACTTGTTGGTCCAGCCGCAAACCTTCGGACCTGTAGACCATCCAACCTGCAGACTTTCCGACCTGCCCATCTGACCGCGGACCTTCCGACTTGCCTATCCGACCGAGGACCAACCGACCTGCTTATCAGATTGTGGACCAACCGACCGAGGAGCAACCGACCCGCTAACCAACCGACCTGCCCATCCGACCGCGGACCTTCTGACCGAGGACCAACCGACCTGAATGCAAATTTTTCTCTTTTTCCATCCGACTTCGTGTCTAACTTCCTTTGAGATCCTACTATCCTTATTTTTATTATTATTATTATATTTGTGCGTAACAACTATAAATTATTATTTTTTAAGGAAATGCGTGATATATTAGAGAGGAATTCAGGTATACCTTGACATTCTATGTTTAGAAGTCATTTACTTATGTACCAATTTTAAGTCATGAATTAGTCTGCATAAATGCAACAATGCTCTTCAGGTTTTTCTTTTTTTTTGCCAATTTTCCATAGGAAATAAATATGTTGAGTTCATTATTATGTTCTTTTTCTATACAATAATAATATTGTATAATCACCTGTTGTATAAAACAAATTAAATTATTAATTCGGGTTCACAACTGTAACAGTTCTTTGTAGGGTTTTATTGGCAATTTTGCGATGGTAACTTCATATTTGCTTTCCATTTTTATAAATAATCATAAATGACAATTAATTTGAAATATTTTAATCTTCATTAAACATGCAATGTGAGAATCTAATTACTACATATATATGATGCATTTTTTTTTAAGGATAATCCAAAAAAATTTAATGATGCCAAGTATTGTCATTTCAAATTGAGTTTTTCAACATGTGTGATTGAAAGTTAAAATTAAGACAGGGAAAAACAAAAAAATGAGCCCTTATAAATATTTTATATTAATGTAATAATAAAAATTAACTTTATAATTTTTTTTTATTTAGTAATAAAATTACTGTTTTTATATATTAAAGTATCAAAATATAAATATAAAATAATGTGATATTTTTAATATAAAATTATTTATTTAGTATAATATAAAAAATAAGTTTTTATTTAATACTTTCTTGAGAATTTTTTTATAAAAAGTAAAATCTTTAAAAATAAAAATACTCTAAACTAAATTGTTTTCTTAATGTTTATAGAATACACAATTTTTTAAAAATATTATTAAAAAATATAATAACGTATACAAATTTAAATATATACAAATAAAAATTAAAATAATAAAAAAACCCAATATTTTTTTTCTATCATATTTTCATAATTTTACATATCTCATAACAAAAATATTATAAGTATAAAATTAAACAAGCATACTAAAACTTATAACCAAAGACATAATAAATATAATATTTTAAAATTTTAAAATAAAATACTTTATTTAAAAATAAATAATTTTTTTTGATTTATAAACTAATTTTATATATTTTAAAATTTTTATTAATAATAATAATATATCTATAGATTAGTATACATATTATTATTGAGGTCATATAGACCCCTAGTTAGAATGGGTCAGGGGTAAGGGCCCTTATGGCTCTGGCTCAAGATAGGTGGGCGGACTTTACGATAAAATTTAAGAAATCTATTGACATTCAGAAAAAAAATTTTTAATTTATTTTAGAATAGTGAAACTCTTTCGGTGTTTTCATTGTACCTCAAACAACTGTTCTTCGTTCAAAACAAAGTAATCTCTGGTTTTCTGAATCAAAATCAGTTTTCACTTTAAAAACTTGTTTCTGATTGTTTCACTGTATAATCTTTATAAATATTTTTACAGTCACTGAGATCATATGATTGCAATGTTTGTAAATTTTTTAAAATTAGGGTTTATGTGGATCCGATGCTCTTTTTGATATTTTGATTATGGTGTTCATGCTTTTAATTTCCCTCCCCATTATACATATAGTTTTTCTATGGGTTTTATTTACTATTTTATATATATTTCCCATTTTATTGTTTTTTTTTCTATTTTTCTAGGTTGTTGCGGGTTGTGGGTTGTGGGTGTGTGTGTGTGTTTTTTTTTTTTTTTAAATTGGAGGATTTTATGTTTTAATTAGCATAAGATTTGTTATACAACACATATTGATGAACAAATGTTTTTTTTTTTTTTTTTACTTTTTTTCCCATTGGGTTAGTGATTTATTCATATGTGATTTTGACAATTTAATTGCAATATTACTATAAGATTTGACAAACCTTTGAAATGTTTGAAAATAAGAAGTTAGTGTTCACATCTATTAGAAAAAAATATAGGAAAATGACAATTAATGTTATAATCTGGAATATATGCATATATATATTAAAAAAAATTGTATATAGAAGATAAGTGATTTTGGCACTTGACATACTTTTTAATCCAAAATTCACTTAATATGCTTTATGTTGCACTATTTTTACTTGTTCTTATGTTGGAGGACATCGTACAATTTTGTAAATAATGTTGTATATTGGAAGAATATACATATTAACTTGTCCAAATTAGATCACTTAACGGCGCCGGCATGTACTTAATCAGGTAGAATGCAATTTTTCATAGAAATACATCAACAGTTTTATTATCTTATCAACTATAATTTTTTTTTTCACGATTTCCCTTCTATGACAAGCAATATTTGAATTAAATTTGTTACCTATTAAACAGTTTAGTGTACAAACATTTTGGATCAACAATGCAATGTTTTTGTTGTGTTTTATTTGTTTGTAATTGTCTCACTAGCTTTCCTAGAGGATTTTTTATTTTATTATTGGTCAAGAATATCTGGTCTTATTACATATGCCGTTTATTTATGCTTTAATTTATTATAATAATTATTCTTTTTCTATATGTGCTATACTTAATTATGATTGCATGGTTAGTCCAGAGAAAAGGGTCAAAATGGAAGGCAAGACCGATGCAGTAATAACAGCCAAAGACACATTTTGGACTTCCTGCAATAGTTGCAAAACGTATTACGAATACCAAAATATTTATTTGAAAGAACTCTTGGAGTGTCCTCGGTGCAGACAGCCTTTCAGGGCAACAGAGATTCATGCTCCTAATATAAACTCCCGGGGCTCATTTTATTGGAATATCTCTCTCAATGCTGAAGATCTATCGACATTTTTGGGTTGTTTGGGGACTGTGCCACCCCCAGCTAAGGAAAACTGCGGAAACATCACTTCAGGAATGGTGGAACCACCTCCAGCTCCAGCTCAGAATGTTGGATTGAGGAATCCTGCTAAGAACGAGCAATTAAAGAAGTCTGCTGAGACGAGATTTTCAAAAATCGACTTACGTGATGTTCTAACTAGAAAGGCCAAGGAGGAACTTGCTGGCCACCTAAAAAATATCACAAAATGAGTGGGGAGATAGTATACAGAGGTACAAAAGCACTGGACCATATGTAGAAATAGAAAAAAAAAAGTAAATGATTGACCAATATCCTAGAACGACTTAGCCAACACTTGGCCATTTCCGAAGCTAGAGATTATTGATGGTCTGTATGATTTTATGAATTGATGCCCAAATTGAAGTTTCATGTGGTGCTGTATTTAGTTTTGTTTATCATGCAACATGCATCATTTAAATATTGTGGTATTGTACTCATATTATTGTTGTAATTTTCATGTCTTAAAAAATCTTGCAATGCCAAAACCTCGTGAACAATTTAGAGGTACAAGATTGTTTTAGCTTTTCTTGCCATATAACATTATGGAAGTGTTATGACAACTATTGTGTGAGTTATTTTGGAAAAATACTAGCAAACACACAGGCTTATGTTGTTTGGTAGATTTTTCATCATTTCTTCCAAACAGAATTAACACCGATATCCACTAAAGCTGCGCATTAACACCCATTCTCTATCATTAGTTATATATGCGCCCTATTGATATGTTAATATATATTTCTGCAAGTTGTATTTTTTCACAAATTTCTTGCACAGACAAAATATAAATTCTTTTGTGACTTAAAAATCCATGCAAATTTAATGTTGCTCCTTTTTGTAATGGAGTAATGCTATGTATTCGAAAAAGTTTCGGAATGGTTGCACCATCTCTGTTTGGATTACTTTATGTCTTGCAGTTATGTTCAAACGTTAAACATTCATTCTAGCTCATGATGCAACACTTCTTTTCAGCCTTTTTCTTGTAATTTTTCAATGGTAATATAGATGTTAAACTTATGATGAATTTCCTTTCCTAGATAATAAATCATTAATGACAACTAACTTAAAAAACAGGCGATAATTGAGATGTTCATTAAACCTTTAATATCTAAAACTATTTATTATGTGATGCAAAAATTCAAAAACAACTTAATCCAGATCAAAAGACTAAAATGTTTAATGACTCAAAATATAAAACTCCACAACATTTGTTTCATCTACTTTTTTCTGAAAATAGTTTCTTCTGTTCCTAAAATCATCATGTCGGCTCAGTTTTTGGCCTCATTTGAGTACTCAATTAGTTTGATATTTTGAGTGCAAGTAACTCTTGAACTAGTGCATGACTAGGCATGACCACTGAATTCAAAGAAGACAATTTTGGATGTGTAAATGTTTTCCTGAATCTAGATTATTTTTCAATCATAAGCTGATTGATGATTGTTTCGCTAAGAAATCTTTGTAAAGGATCGTCACTACTGTTATTATCATATGACTTGCAAGCTATTTGATCATTTGAGAAAGTTAGGGTTTCGTTAACCTCAATGCCCCTAGTGATTCTCCGCTCTAATATTATCCTTGATGTTACTTTGTTTTATTTCATTTTAATTTTTCTTCCCCTTTTGGGTTTATGTTTCAGTTCGCATCACACCCGGAGATCTGAAGTCTCATTGAACAATTTAGAGTTATAATTTAATCACTCATCTATAATATGGAACGCATGTTTTCATATAATTTTGTGTATAATAGAATGATAAATTAGTGATTTTGGCGCCCACATATACTTCAATAAAAAATTCATTTAGTATGTGCTATGCTATTTGTGTTTTGCGCTAGTTTGGTTTATCCTTATACTTTGAGGGCGGCATCGAATTCCACGTATAGGAAAAATATAAATAGTGACTTTATATTGCATAGGTAAGGTCATATACATTGCAGACATATAGTTAAATCAGCATTGAATGCTTATTAATTATATCAATATACATTATCTTACTATAAGCTGTTACTTTTCCTTCGGAACTTTCCTTCTATACTGTCTAATCTTCGAAATTGAGTTGTTACCCGTCAATAGAGTAAATTCTTAATTGCAATAATTGTTATGGATATATGGATTCTCATAGTTCAATTCATCAGTTATTATATGTTTTAGTTTATTAAGTTTTCTTTTCTGTATCCTTTTTCATTTGTCCCATATAAGCACTAGGTAACTATGATTGAAGTGTTTTACGGGGCAAAAGGGGAACCATTGAAAACAACAAGGATAATCCTATATATAGTAAGATAGTATTTGGGTATTGAATATAAATGTTCACCTTGCAAAAGACTGACACTTCATCTCCATTTGTTGACTATTGTGTAAAATTTGATTTGTAGAATTTCTCCACTGTTGCACAATATTGTTATGGAATCATGCGATGCATTTGAAAGTAGTTGAGTTATCAGTGCACTTTCTATGTTTAGAAAAGTGTATGTCTTTTACTTACGTAATGTTTTTAAGCCATGGATTAGTATGCAAGAATGCAACAATTCTTTGTAGATTTTTTTTTAGGTAATTTTCTATAGGTTAAATGAATGTTGAGTTCGTTATTGTATTTGTTTTCCATATAGAAAATTGATAATTAATTTAGAAAATAAAAATACTTGGAAAGCTCATGAAATGTTCTACGTCGAAACTCGTTATTTTGTGTTGTAAACTAATAAAAAATAAAAATAAAAATGAATCCAAATCAGACCAATTGTCATTTAAAATTATATTTTCAGTATATTTAGTTTTATTTATTTATTTTTATTTATTTCTCAATATTTTGTTGATTATTGTCAGGGTTAAAATTTAAAACTTAATTAGAAATTTCAAAAAATCTCTCACTAAAATGCAAGACAAAGTTTACAAAGCACATGTCTTTAAAATTAGAACATTTTACTACCTTAAAATTCATTTTTATTTTCTGAAACTTGCTTTTCTTCCTTAAAGTCCTCATTTCATCTAACTTTTTCTTTATTTTATTTATCAGATCTGCTGTTGTTCTGTATTTCGAATGTTACAACTCTTGAGTTAGCGCCTCAATTAATCTAACTCTTGAGTGGTCGCACTGCGCTGGACTGCCACGACAACTCTACCCGGATGGCCGGTAACCGTTAAGTTGAAGAAATCGAGCCTTTTGATGTCCGTGGCTCGAACCATGCGGCCATGTACCGTTACCAGCTTCTACGAGAATCTTGATGGACACTTGTCGCGCGAGTGCGATGAATGAAGCTAGTAAAGTTTTGATCAGAGCTGGCCCCATCGATGGATTCAACAACGAGCACCGCAATACACACAGCGATTTCGATTAACACGTAGCAGTCGGAGTGCTCGAATTTTTGACACCTGAGAGGCTTCCACTGCCACATGTACATCAAATACGTAATTCACATGGGTCGTTTGGTGGGACTTTTGTTTGTTTGCACTGTGGCTGTTGCGTTCCGGGACTATAAATTAGGGGCTGGCCTACCTAGGGTTTGCATCCACCTCTCATAGATTCTTCTATTCACAATCTCAGGTTTCTCAGATTTTACGGAAACGGCAGACAGATGACAAGCAAGCGGCAGCGGTGGTGGTGGTAGCGGTTGCGGCAACGGTAGCAGAAGTGGCAGCCGCAGGCTCCCTGTATCTCCAGAAATTGGAGAGAGGGAGGAGACGCCAGATGATTCTCGGAGGTTTCACTGCCATCCTAAACCTCCCAAGAGATCCGATGACTTTCTTTGGGCACCTCGACGGCGTCTCCGGCTGGGGTGGGGCACCACAGGCAGCTTCTACCTCTCGAAGCGGCCTGCCATCGTCCCCTGATATCAGATCCACCCTCACCATCGCCGCCACCGCGGACGCCTCCGGGACGGTTCCATCAAGGCAGCGCGGTGCCAGTGGTGGGGTGGAGGACGGCGATGAAGTCGTTGCTGTGGGGTGTGTTGTCTGGAGCAGTGAAGCCAGATTTCCGCCACCTAGTAACCACCAGAATGCCCCATCTAGAGTTTTTGTTGGTTCTAGCAGCTCCTCCGCCCCACCTAGGGTTCCGCCCCAGAAATTGTTCGGCGCCGCCGCTCTGATTGTTAGGGCGATGGTGTTGATAGGGCATGATGGAGTGATGGAAGACACCATTAGCATCCGGATCCACCTTTGGTCGCCGGAAATCGCCAAATTCAAGCCGGTCCACTACTTCGGCATTTTTTATGGCCATAGAGGATCTCAGGTGAGTTTGTATGTTCATATTACAGATCTGAAATTACAATCTTCATATTTAACTAGATCATTAATTGATCCTCTTTTGTGTGTCAGTGCGCCTTTATATGCGAATCGAGGATGCATGAGATCCTCCAGGAAGAGGTGGACCGGGAAGCCGCCAGATGAGACCACATCGGAGCAGCCTCCTCGTCGCTTCTCCAGGAGGCATGGACATGCATCTTCAATCGGTGCTTCAGGAGGATCGAGATGATGGCGACACCAACCCGCCAGTTCGGGTCCTTCGCCGGCTGCAACTGCGACCGCACCGAGTTGGTCTGCTTGGGATGACGGCGGTCGTTGTGGTTCAGATGATGGAGCATATCATCGCCGCCAACTGCGGTAACTCATGCGCCATCCTCTACCGTACAGGAAGAATAATCCCACTCACCGACGACCATAAGGTACTTAACCGTCGACTCAATTTTTTGGTTGTTTTGGGTGTCTCAACCTATTCATCATCTTGTTAGCGCATATTGTGATTTTAAAGCAAAGATTTCCATATTTTTTTTTAGTTTTGTTTGAATCGGTTAATCAATGTTTCAATGTAAATTTTCACGGGAATAGATTAGTAGTTTTCCTCCACAATTTTCCTCCTTCAATAACATCCAATATTTGTCAAGGACACGTGGCTTGTCATACCTAAATACCACAGTTTTTATAGCTTTAATTTATTAAGTTCAAATTTTTCTATCACTTTTCCTTTTCCCAAATGTCCTCTTGTAATTATTAATACAGTGTTTAACGGTGAAAGAGTCAACAATGGAATGCAAATAGAAATCGAGTGTAAGAACAATTGACTTTCTCAGCACAGACAAACTTGATTACTAACCAGCAAAAGCCGGATACATTTTGCACTTCTTGCAATACGTGCAAGTCACGTTATGAGTACTCTAATAAGTATAGGAATAAGCCTCTGGAATGTCCTCAATGTGAATATCCTTTTATGGCATCTGAAATACCTGCTCGCAATTTAAATGCTGGGTGCTCACGTTATTGGAATTTCTTTTGAAACCCTGAAGATCTATGCATCTTCTTGAGTCGTGTAAGAAGTGTGGCACATGCAGCACTGGAAAGCTGCAGGAACGTTGCTCCACCTTCAGATGCAACCTTAAGAAATCCAAAAATGGAGGAGCCAATTAAGAAGAGCGGCTGGGGTGGTCCTTCAGGTGCTACTTCAACATGCACTCCAAGAAGTTAAGAAAAGACTGGTAGGAAGCGAAACAGTGCAACGAATTAGGCGACTTATATGAGAAAGTAAACCTTGATAATTTTGGGCATACAAAAAAGGAACCTCTGAAGAAGTTCAATACAAAAAAAGGCTTGTAGGAAGCGAAATAATGCAACGACTTAGGCGTCTTACGAGAAAGTAAACCTTGATAATTTTGGGCGTACGAAGAAGGAACCTCTGAAGAAGTTCAATACAAAAGGCCTATCTCGTAATGAATTGCCCGATGTTATACAACGCATATTGATGAATATATGATTTTTTAGTTATTACTTCTTTTTTTTTCTTTTGCATTGGATCAGAGATTTAAGATAGCTTAAATTTTTTGCTTTTCTATCCGTATGTGATTTCTGATTATTTAATTGCAACGTTACAACAAGATTTGACAACCTTATAAACTTATTGAGAATTAGAAATTAGTGTTCAAATCTATTAAAATTAAAATATATAAGAATGTATCAATCATTCTTATTGTGTTGTTTTAGAAAGGTATCGAAACTTTATTTTCTTTACAAAATTAGTTATTAAACGTTTGGATTCATGTAACAATGAAGAACATAGAATTCAAGTTGAAAATTAAGACATACTATATATAAAACAACAAAACAAGCTTAGTTCAAATAGGGTCAGCCCTAGATTTACGCATTAATAAGGCACAAACACACCCATTACTGTAGCCTATGAAAACTAGGCCCAAACTCATGATCCAGCCTGTGACCCGCGACCCTTGGCCTGACCTGTGCTCTTGACCTGCGCCCGCGACACGCCGAGTATCCGTGTGTTTTTTAGATGTTGTGCTGGCCGTCCGATTGGGGGTTTTAATCTCGATCGTCGGATCTCTTTTAACCTAGATATATATATATATATATGAAGGGTGAGATGTGGCAGCCGTCATTCGATACAATCTCTTCCTCTCTCTACAATAGTGCCTCTCTAGCCTCTCTCATCCTCTCTCTCACAATCCCCTCTCCGGCGAAAATTTTTAGACAGTTCACGGCGGTGCTTTTCTCCTATAATCTTGTGGAGCTCCTTAGAATATTTTGTTTTCCCCTGGTTGGTTGTTTCGAGCTGCAAAGGGCTCGTTCAATGTCATAGGTGTTTTGATCACTCTTTTCGCCTTGTGTTCTTCTATTTGAGGTTTCTCTTTTGGTTGTCGTGGGTTGTTAGGGTAGGTTTTCGTGTATTCGTCGTATTTTGGGTGTTGTATTTGCGTCGATTTGTGTTCCGTGTGGTTTGGGCACTAAGCCTAAACCAAATCTTGGAAGCGAAACAGTGCAACGACTAAGGAATCTTATAAGAACGTAAACCTTGCTAATTCTGGACATACAAAGAAAGAACCTCTGAAGAAGTCTAATACAAAGGGCTTATCATGTGATTCTTTACTTATAGTTTTTATTGAGGTAAACCTGAACCTCGTTCTGTTTTGTTTTATATATGTTTTTATAGTTTTTAAATTTTATCTTTTTTTCTTTTCTCAGTTTTTTTTTTCTTGTTTATTTTAGGGGGTGTAGGGTGGGGTTGTTTTAGCTTGCATTTGAGTTGTTTCCTAATGAGTTTTAGGTTTTTATTCTTTGTGCATAGGGCCAATGATTTATAGTAAGTAGCTAAAAAAACTTAATTTTCTATCTATTTCGAGTTTTGAGATTTTATGGCCACACTATAATGATATTAAAAAACTCAATGAACTGTTGATAATTTTAATTTAATGTTTAGATCTACTATGAATATGCGGCAAAAAATCATTCTTATATTCTAGAATTCATAGTTTTCATATAATTTTTTGTTTATAGAAAGATAGATAGTAATTTTATATATTTTGTTAGTTTGACTTACCCTTGTATTTTGAGGATATAATCTAACCCTGTAAATGAAGCCATATATAGGACCGATATGCATACTAACTTTGTTTCACAACCTAGATTATACAATGACGCCAACATGAAGTTTAATCAGCATTGAATGCTAACTTTGCAACTTAGATACATAACATACATTATCTATCTGAGCTCTTTACCTAAATGACTTCCCTTATATACCATCGAATAGTCAAAATAAATTAGTTACCTAAGCAACCGTGTCATATACCAAATAACAAGATGGATTCACATTACAATTTAGATGAACAATGCAATGTTTTTGGTTGTGTTTTATTTGTTTGTAGCTGTCTCGTGACTGGCATTCCTAAAGGGCTATAATTTTATAATAGAGTATATTATTAATCTTATTATTTATCAAAAATATTTGGTTTCTCATACATAACATATGGATTAATATGTGCTTTAATTACTTTATTTATTTATTTATATAATTTTTTTTATGTGTGCAATTATTAATTATCATTGCAGTGTTTGCTCGGGAGAAAAATGTCAGAATGGAAGGAAACCGGGTTGAAGTCAGTCAAAGACACATTTTGGACTTCCTGTAACAGGTGCAAGACATATTACGAATACCATAATATTTATTTGAATGAACTCTTGGAGTGCCCTCGGGGCAGGCAGCCTTTGAAGGCAACAGAGATTCCTGCTCCTAATATAAAATCCCGGGGATCATCTTATTGGAATATCTCTCTCCATACTGAAGATCTATCAACATTCTTGGGTTGTTTGGGGACTGTGCCACCCCCAACTAAGGAAAACTGTAGAAACATTACTCCAAGAATGGTGGAACCACTACCAGCTCCAGCTCCAACTCAAAATGTTGGATTGAGCAATCAGCACTTAATGAAGTCTGCTGAGATGACATTTTCAAAAATCAACTTTCGTGATGTTCGAATGAAAATGGCCAAGGAGGAACTCGCAGGCCACCTGAAAAATATCACAAAATGAGTGGCGGGATAGTATACAGAGGTACAAAAGCACAGGACCATATGCAAAAATAGAAAAAAAGTATAAGAATGGCCAATATCCTAGAAAGACTTAGCCAACACTTCGCCATTGCGGAAGCTGAGAGATTATTGATGGTTTGCATAAGTTTATAAATTGATGCACAAATTGAAGTCTCATGTGATGTTGTATATAGTTTTGTCTATCATGCTACATGCATCATTTAACTGTTGTGGTATCGATGTATTAATATTCTAACAAATAGATATTGTGGTTCGGAGACCAATTCTAATGTTGTTACACGCACTCATTATATAGAAACTTTTGTACGATTCACCATTGCAGTGGTATATTTGACTGAATAATCTGGAGCCATAAACTTTGTGGTAATATGTTAGTTTTTTCCTAATGTAGATTGCGCAATGATTTATCGATAACATAACACATATATGCATTAAATCTGCTATATTATACCCATTTTTATGTCCTTATAATTTTTTAAAATAAAATCTTTGAATATCCAAGAAAATACCTGCTAAGACCTTATATTTATGGTTTAGTACTCAGACACATGAGTCATTTGGGACAAATAGTCAAACTACCGTAAAAGAAATTCTCAGCTAGCTTATGTTGTTACCAAACGAATTCACCAATATCATCCTACTCGTGATTGGCGTAGCTTTCATGACATGAAAAATCTGGCAAGATTGTTCGAGCTTATGTTGCTATGTAAAATTATGGAACAGTAACGAATACAATCGCGTGAGTTATTGTCAAAAAAGTGTTGCCATTTCTGAAAAATTACTAACGAACACACGTGAGGTTTTTCGGCAGATTTTGCCATGATTTCTCCCATTCAAAACACCAATATACATTAAAAGTGCAAATTAACACCCATTCTTTATCATTATATATATATGCCTATTGATATGTGAATATCGAATTTGCGAGTTGTATAAATTCACAATCTACATGTTTATGTGCACTGCACAAACTAAAATTGATGTGAAACAATGTATATTTTACTATGGAATTCGATGGTGCGAAAGTGCAATTTAATATTTTCAATTATATGAAATACCTTGAAAAATCTAACACTTTGTGTAGTGTGAATGTTATTGACAAAAATATACACGGAGTTTTAGGATTGCATGATAAGTCCATTCTGGACATAAAATCGAAGCCGGTTCCGAATCAGTTGGAGCCTGTTCACTTAAATAATGGTATAAATATTGCAGAGAAATTTTGGTGAGTAATCATTGTTTTAAATATGGAAGTAAAAGACGCAAATTGAGGTGGGCAAGACGATTCGTGCTACCAAATGGCTAATGTGAAACTACTGATGAAAATTAAACTTGTTCAAGAAGATTTCAAACATATTAGATAGCATTTTTTTTTTGTCGGGCAGTTATTGGTTTGTCTAGTGACTGTTTATATACTGCTCGGACAGTTCCGTTGATATTTGTGTTTGCATTTATTGTTGTTGTTTCTAGAATCCTTCTTGTATCTCTATATATTTCGAGGAGTCTTGTAATGGTTTTGATACGAGCAATATTTATCTTCATTTTCCTTCTTCAAACAAACGTTAAGTGTGCACACACAGCACTGACCAAGCAATCTATAGAGGATTTGCTAACTTGTTTTATTATCTGCTTCTGTAATATCCAACAAGTGGTATCAGAGCCTAACGGCGAAAGGCAGCCCAAAGACGGATATGGCGTCCAGCAGTTCCCTTCCGGTGCCCAAGTTGACGAAAGATAATTACAAGATGTGGAGTATACAAATGGAGGCATTATTGGGATCTTTTGATGTATGGGACCTGGTTGAATCTAGGTATGCAGAAGCAGAAGGTGAAGAAGTTAATGTAGAGGAATAGAAGGAGTTAAAGAAAATGGAGAAGAAGACTTTGTTCACAATCTATCAAGGTGTTGATGAAGCAGATTTTGAGTTGATATCCACTGCCCAGACATGGAAGGAGGCATGGGACAGATTAAAGAAAGCTCATGAATGAATTGATAAAGTGAAGAAGATTTGACTGCTGTCCTTGACGGCTCAGTTTGAGGCATTGAATCATGGTGAGACATAAAGTATTGCAAATTACTTCTCTGGTGTTATAGCTATTGCGTATCAGATCCGAAGGAATGGAGCGGAATTAGAATATGCTAAAATTAATCAAAAAAAATATTGAGGTCCCTACATCCGAGGTATGATTTCGTAGCAGTAGCCATTCAAGAGTCCAAAAATGTGGAGGAGATGACAGTTGATGAGTTGCTGGGTTCGCTCCAAGCCCATGAGCACATGGTTTTGAGAAGAGGATGTGATAGTTCTTTGGAGCAAGCTCAACAAACAATTCTCACATTCAAGAAATTTGATGCATCCAGAGGAGGCACAAAACGAGGAAGATTTCAGCCACAAAGAGGAAGAGGAGGACGAGCTACGTATAGGCAAGCTCAGGAGATTGGACATAATGACCAGAATGGTGCTCAAGGAGAAAATTGAGGCCGAGGAAGATGGCAAGGACGTGGCCGTGGAAAAAACTCTGGATGGAGGTATGACAAATCTGAAATTCAATGTCATGCTTGCAAGAATTTTGGTCATTATGCTAGAGAGTGTCAACACACTACTAATTCTGTAAAAGAAGAAGCAAATCTGGTTGACCAAGAAGAAACGAATGGTGGTCAAGCATTACTTATGGTGGCAAAAGGAGAACCGGAAAGTGTGTAGGAAAGTACATGGTTCCTTGACACTAGAGCATCGAATCACATGTGTGGGAGAAAAGAGTTTTTCATAAAACTCGATGAAAGGCAGATGGAAAACATCACATTTGGAGATTTGTCAAAAGGCCCAATTGAAGGAAAATGAGATGTAGCCCTCGAACTGCAATCTAGAAGGCAGGTACTCGTTTCAAATGTTTATTATGTGCCTAAAATTAAAAGCAATTTGCTCAGTATTGGGTAGTTGCTTGAGAAGGGACATGATATCTGAATGAATAATCTGATGATGAGCTTACGTGATAAAAGCAATCAGATTGTTACAAATGTGAGAATGACCAGGAACTGAATGTGTCCCTGAAGCTAATGGCAGTGAGCGATTCATACTGTCAGAATGTTGCAATTCTGGACAGCAGTACTTTGTGGCTCCTGCGTATGGGCATCTTAATTTTAGAGGACTGATATCACTTGGTAGCAAAAACATGGTGCTGGGATTTCCAAAAATTGAACCAGCAAGCAATCTGTGTGAAATTTGTGTCATGGGAAAGCAACTGAGGCAACAATTCAGCAAGTACGGAGCAAAAAGAGCCAAATCACATATCGAGTTGGTGCATTGCAATGTTTGTGGACCAATTACACCAACCTCATTTGGCGAAAACAGGTACCTTTTGACATTTACAGATGATTACAGTGGCAAAACATGGGTGTATATGATGAAACAAAAGAGTGATGTGTTTATCAAGCTCAAGGAGTTCAAGAATCTGGTGGAGAAACAAAGTGGAAAATACCTAAAATGCTTAAGGACAGATCGTGGAGGAGAATACACCTCAAGGGAGTTTGATAGATTCTGCAAGGAACATGGCGTACAACATTAGCTGACTATGCCACAGATGCCCTAAAAGAATGGAGTTTCGGAGAGAAAGAACAGAACCATCATGAACATGGTTCATTGCAAGCTGAAAGAAAGAACGGTGCCAAAATAGTTTTGGGGAGATTCTGTAGCCTGTGCAGTCTACTTATTGAATAGGTTTCCAACAAAGAGAATTGGTGACATCACTTCAGAAGAAGCATGGAGCAACAAGAAACCGAATGTTGATCATCTCATAATCTTTGGAAGCATTGCATATGATAAGGTGCAGGAGGAGAAAAGAACAAAGCTTGAAGACAAAAGCCAGAAGTGTATTTTACTCGGCTCTGGTGAAAATTGCAAAGGTTACAAGCTGTACAACCCAATTACCAAGAAGATTATTATGTCCAGAGATGTGACATTTGATAAAGAAAAATGCTGGGACTGGAGGAGCAAGCATCAGAGTGAACAAAATCCAGTAATTGAAGTTGGTGAGGAAGAAACATAAAATGTTCGTGCAACAACATCCAACCGTGGAGGAAGCGAATCTGATAGTGATGATTTCAGGAGTCCAACAATAAGGAGAATGAGGAGTATTCAGGAGTTGATTGACAACACAGAGGTTCTTGAAGATTATATTGATGATGAATACAACAATTTCTGTTTAATTGCTGGAATAGACCCACTAACATTTCAGGAAGCTGCGGAAGATCCTAAGTGGCAGAAAGCTACGGACGAAAAAATTCAAGCAATTCAGAAAAACAAAACCTGGGAGCTTACTTCACTTTCAGAAGGTCACAAATCCATTGGAATCAAATGGGCCTACAAAACAAAGAGAAATGCTGAAGGAAAAGTCGAGCGCCACAAAACAAGATTGGTGGTGAAAGGGTACAAGCAGAAATACGGGATTGATTATGAAGAGGTTTTTGTCCCCGTAGCACGACTTGAAACTGTGAGATTATTACTGATTTCCATTGTTGCCCAGAGAAATCAGAAGATCTATCAGATGGATGTGAAGTCGGCATTTTTTAATGGAAAGCTTGAAGAAGAGGTATATATTGAGCAACCCCCTGGATTTCAAATTGAAGGTCAAGAAGACAAAGTTTACAGATTGAAGAAAGCTCTTTATTGATTAAAGCAAGCACCAAGGGCATGGAACTCAAGAATTGACTCGTATTTCTTAGCAAATGGCTTCGTGAAGTGTCCATACGAGCACTCAGTTTATGCTAAGATGAACTCTACAGGTGACTTGTTATTGATCTGTTTATATGTTGATGATCTGATCTTTACATGCAACAAAGATTCTGTGATTGAGGAGTTCAAGCAGTCGATGAAAAAGGAGTTTGAGATGACTGACTTGGGTTTGATGCGATATTTCTTTGGAATTGAAGTGGATCAAGATGCAGCGAGCATATTGGTGACACAAGAAAAATATGCTAAGGAAATTCTGCAGAAATTTGCTATGATAGATTGT